TTTATTATTTTTAGAGGCAGTCTGCCACTGAAGAATCTCAGCTCTTCAGTGGCATGAGAATAAAATATTCTGTATTTTATTCCAGAGATGTATTTGTAAGTTGTTTCAACTGGAAGTTGAACTGATGATGTGGCACCTGTGAAACTTCAAAGCATTATGTTTTGATGTAAGCCATTGCTGCAATGGCTAAATATGAGGTAGCAACAGGGAAGAGTATCTGTGATATCACACAGTATCGCAGTATGCTAGAGATTGGAAGGGACCTCAAAAGATCATCTAGTCCAATCCCCCTGCCGGAGCAGGAACACCTAGATAAGGTTACACAGGAACGTGTCCAGGTGGGCTTTGAATGTCTCCAAAGAAGGAGATTCCACAACCTCCCTGGGCAGCCTGTTCCAGTGTTCTGTCACCCTCACTGAGAAGAAGTTTCTTCTCAAGTTTAAGTGGAACCTCTTGTGTTCCAGTTTGTACCCATTGCCCCTTGTCCTATCATTGTTTGCCACTGAGAAGAGCCTGGCTCCATCCTCGTGACACTCCCCTTTTATATATTTATATACACTAATAAGGTCACCCCTTAATCTCCTCTTCTCCAAACTACAGAGACCCAGCTCCCTCAGTCTTTCCTCATAAGGGAGATGCTCCACTCCCTTAATCATCTTAGTTGCCCTGCGCTGGACTCTCTCCAGCAGGTCCCTGTCCTTCTTGAACTGAGGGGCCCATGATCGATTTCAGGCATTACCCATATTCTCAGGTGATTTTTAACCTAGTATTCTTTAACCTGAGCTTTGTAAATACTTCATTTTTGACCTTGTTGAAACAAGCCAGGCACTAGTGGAATCTCTGTATGATGCAGCCTGTGCATGAAAAAAATCTGTAGAAGGGAAGAAACATACTACTTCAAGTGACATCTACTCTGGTGGTACGAGCTTTCCAAATTAAGGGTTGGAGGGGAAATGTTTGTTATCAGTATCTTTAGGCAGTGAATGGAAGATCCTGTATTCTTACAACATTTGTGGCAAGGGCTTTTTCAGTGATGGGTGCACCATCACCATGAGCAGATGTTCTGTATCGGGGCCTGTAAGCCAGGGAATAAGGACAGAGTGGTACAGCATTAGCAGCAGAAAATGCTTGTCCTGCAGGCTTATGTTAACCTGTGCAGCACATTCTGCTGACATATAAAATATTTTTATTTTTTTTAAAGAATTACTTCATTTGGCTAATATCTTGGTGGTAAAGGGAATCCTCATTTTGAAGCCTTTTCCATTGCTCTGTAAAGTCTTTATTTGGATGGCAGTATTTACTTTAAGCTTTCTCGTTTCTTTTAGTTTATTGTGGTGTCCTTGAAGGATGGAATGTTTAGCAATGCAAATGTCCTCTTCAAGACCAAGTTTGTGGATGGTGTATCCACCGTTTCAAGACATACACAGCTCCAGAATAAACGGCTGCACCGAGTTCAAGAAGAGCGGGAGAAGTAAATAGCACAAGTGCGAATGTGGAGAACAAGAGAACTCCACTGGTCTTTCAACACTTCCTAAGTGTTCTCTGCACAGTCTATAATTAGACCACAAAGAAATTCTGCCAATTTTTAATATTCCTATTAATGACTAAAAAAACTCATTAAGAATTAGATCTACAGGATTCTGCTGCCTGTAGTGTTAGTTAGACTGGCTGCATTTATTCCTCTTGGTGTGCCCTGTAATTGCGGTCATGCCAGTAATATGCATTGAACAGTTACTTGCATTGCAAGCATGCTGTGAACAGTAAGTAGTCATGTAAACTTACCAGGAACAACTGAAAGTTTTTAATGGAATGAGGAGAACATGATTTGACTTATGTGGGTCTGACAGTGTTGGTCTTGCCTGATGCTGCTTCAGCCAGTTGGTAGCCAAGACCTGTTAAGTTTACATTTCTGCTCCCTGCAGCCTCGCTCGTTGCTTTTATCATTTAGAAAAGTAGATTACTACTGCAATAATGTAGTTATGTTACATTGTTAAGTATTTTTTACATAAAGTAAGTTTTTAATTTTTACATAAAGTGAGTTTTTAATGATGGCCTCATCTCCCAGCTTTGTATGTGGAATAGAGTTACATATCATATTGGGTCTTGGGTTGGATGGGACCTTCAACATCATGTGCTTTCAACCCCCTGACACAGGCAGGGACAGGTTCCACTAGAGAAGTTTGCTCCAAGTCCTGTCCAACCTGGCCTTGAACACTGTCAGGGATGGGACAGCCACAGCTTCTTTGGGCACCCTGTGCCAGTGCCTCGCCTCCCTCTTAGTGAAGAACTTGTTCCTAATCTAACCTAAATCTCCCCTTTGTCAGCTTAAGCCCATCACCACATCTTTAGGCAAGTGGCCTGAGGGAAAGTAGGTCAGGGCAGAGCAGAACACAATGCCAAACACAAGGATACTATAAAATACTGGGAGAAAAAACAGTACCAGTCACTTCCAGGAACATGTCATGCAGCTTTTATTTAATTTCACCTTTTTGGTAAGCAGGAGGGTTTTCTTTCAGTCAATCGTTCACATACTTCGACAGTACAGACTGCAGTGAATTTTATGGAGATCTTGCAACATTAGAAAACTTTTCTCAATATACATCCATTTAAGCAACGGCGAGTGCTAGAGTCAGGTCCACGCACTGCACTCCAGGTATACAAAGCATTGCAGCAGCACAAGAACTGCCCACAGTGGGCAATGTACAGTGTGTTTTACATAGTGCAATCGCTTTTAGAGGAAAAACTCTAGGAAGGCCACATCTATTATTTTTTTTTTTAATCCTGTCAAGTTTACAAATGTGAGGGGGGTAGATATCAAACCTCTGACTGAATTAACTTTTGTACAGGTAGGTTTTGTGTATAGGCACATGCTTTAGAGAGGAGCTCTGCATCTGTTCTGTAATCACGAGAAAGACATATTGCTTTGTGATCCAGAGTGTGGTATCATCTCTAACCTTCCTAAATGCTCTTGGCCAGAGCCATCAGTCCACCTGTTTGTACAGTTCCTAGAATACGCTCTTCCCTCTAGTATAAATCCCCAATAGAGAAATTCAGGTTGCTATTGACAACAATTCCTTATTCTGCTTATGGTCATCTGACCATACTAGGCATTGCCTCTGAATACTCCAGTCCACAGTGACCACTCAAAATACCAGAGATGTGGAGGCTCTTCCTTTTCTGTTACTGCCACTCACCAATACAAAAAGAAAAAACCAAGTCAGACGATGAACTGCTACAGCAAAGCATCACTGGTAATATTTATCTAATACAAAAAGAACGAGCACTCATGACACTACATGTCATGGTAAGCAAGTTTTTAAAGATACTGCAAAGTGACTTGCCCAATAACATTTTAAAATGTACACTGTGCTCAACAGTTCAAACTACAGGTAAACAAAGAGCAGCTCCCTGCAACAAGGTGTAAATCAAAATGTTATAGCACCAGCTCCCAGCACCATGGAGTTGTCCACTGACCAGTTTTAGTGTACAATGCAATAGTGCTCGCTGAGGTTTCTGCTACACGAGAGCCACAGTGGGACAGCTCTGCCCATTTCCTGCTGATGTTTTCTTACCAGGTGTGCATGAATTGCACTCCTCCCTTTCTGTGGAGAGCAAGTCAGACGACAAGACTTACAGTACCAGAAAACTCTCAATGGGAAGTGGCACCTGAGGGAAAAGTAGGTACTGCATACCTGATTCTGAGTATGAGGGCATGGAGGAAATGTGATGTCATCTGAACAGTCCTCTCCGTGACAGATCAGATCTGAAAGGAGCTGCAGACTACAAGAAAAGAAGCTTTCCTTCGCTGAAGCCATCGACACGATATTGCCCACACTAACGATTTTGTTTCACCATCAGCAAAGCATTTATCCCCAAGAAGCTGTACACATACTGGTCAGATTATGGTGCAGTGCTAACTTTACACTATTAAAGGTCTGTTGCTATAGTGGCCAGGTTTGTCTTTTCTCCATGAAGGGCAAAATAAAATACTTAAAATAAAAGGAGACAGGCAGCATGGCCACACCATCATAAAGCAATTTTACTCCATGTTAATGCAGATATAATCTTTCTTCTTAAGTGCAAATTAAAAGGTACTTGCTAGCAACCAGCATGACTTGGGCTGCTGAGAAATGACAGATCATTCAGTTTCTTTACAAATATTGACAATCTAAATGGTTACAGGTTTCCAAAGCAAGAACAGGGTTACAAACAGGAAGGGATTAAAACACTACCACTATTAAAAAACTGTCATTGCAAACTCCATACACTCTTCAAAAACATCTAGAAAAGACTGCCTTTTTTTGTTTGTTTGTTTGTGTTTGTTTTTCTTTTTTTTATCCTGCAGCTGGAGTGTCCATGCAAAACAATTTTGAGAAGAGCAGTGTTCCATCTGGGTACCAACTAGGCCCAACTTCATCCCACAGGGCTCAGTAAAGTGCTCTCTTGTGCATCCTTTGAGGAAACAAGTTCTCATTTAAAGTCTGGGAGGCTGAGGTTGCCAGCTGGGGAAGGCATAGTCTTGGTCAATCCACATTGAGGTCAGAGAAAGAGGAAGGAGAGAAGTTAACAGTACTCTGCCTTTCGTAACTCACAGACAATGGGCTGCAAGGGAGGAGCGAGCAGGAGAAGCAGAGGTGGGGGTCAGATGAAGCCACCAGAGCTTAACACAGGCTTCATCAGGGGAAGAATTGAATTCTTTATAGGTAACAAACACCAGCTCTGCTGCAGAGTCCCAAAGATTTACTGTTCAGACACCAGGTAACAGATCACCACACGTGACGTGAGAATCAAATACGCCTGTGCTGGTGGTTTTTCAACAATTCCTCTGAAGGACAAAGGGGATCTGAGCAACATTCTTTTGCCGATTTAAAAGAAAACAAAATCTTGCCCTCAACTATTTTTATGTTGCACACTTAAAAACATTCTAGGGCAGATCATTAGAGGTATTTACTGATAAACAACTAACCATCAGCTTAGAGAGTAAAAATAACACTAATGGGGAAATAATTTAAGGCATTTTTTTATTTTGGCCAGGAATGATGCATGCTACAGAATAAACTTCATTTTCCCCACTTGGTTTTCAGACCACTGCACTCTTTTGTTTTTGTTTTACATGGCACTTTGTAGTTTGTGTTTTACAGCTTAGTCAAGACTTTCAAGTGTTTTCTTCAATATAAATGCCTTCTCTTGCAGCTCGGGTCTGCTATCTGATGCCATCGTAGACAATGAACGAATGAGGTGCTCTGTGCTTTCTGGTGTCAGGCTTTCCCACTGTTGAGTTTCTGTGTAGATAAAGACAGACACTGGATATGAATACCAGAATGCCAAAAAAACAAAAGGTAACCTCCATCCCCAGGCAGGCTGAAAGAGTGACTGACTGCTTCAGCACTTCCAAATTCAACTCCAGTGCACATGCTGCCTCCGGCACAGGGACTCATGCCCGGTTAAGACTAGGCTGGATTGTCTAATCCTGTAAAATGCGAAAACAAGGACCTGAAGAACCAAATGTCTCCCAATTAACAATTCCTTTATGTAATGTAAGATTTCTGCTAGACTAAAGGAAACACAAAGTGTGTAACAGAAATCCAAAGGAAACATTGAACAGAACAGCTGCAGACACATATGACCTTGAGACCTAAGTAGATTCATTCTCTGAAGTAAATTCTGCAAGACTTAAATCCTAAATAACAATGAGGAACTAAACTTGGTGCCAAGAGGGTAGAAGTTCTGCTTCTGCACAAACAGGAGCTCTCCCCTCTATGGTTCTTGCACATAGCAGAATCTGACTAAAAACTGTCCTGTGTGCTCTCCAGGGTGCTCCTTGTTGGACATTTTCCTCACCCAAGCAGTATCCTTGGAGTACTTTAGACTTTGGCTTTCTCCTCAGTTACTTAAAGCTCCCAAAGATTCCCAAGTCACAACTGCCCCAGAATCACCCAGTGCTGTAAGCAGAAGGTAGCAGCATCTGTCCAGGGTTCCAGGCCACACAGCCAGGTGCCTTCCTTACCAAACAGCAGCACTCCCAGCTGGCGAGCAAAGCATCTCACCTTGCAGTTTGGTGAGCAGCAGTTCTATCACAGTCAAAGCTTCTGTTCTTATGGACGTGTAGCTTTTGTTTTCTAGGGGATTGAAAAAACAGGCAATAACAAAAAACCCACAACCACATTGAGAAACAAAGGCACAAATGAGCACTCACAACTGCAGTCTCCAAAAAACATTTACTAGCACAGCTCACTGAGCTCATTTGTGCTGGCCGTCTGCACTGCTCACTTAGATGCATTTGAATGGCAGAAAATGATCAACTAGAGGTTGACAAGTCAACTAGACTTTGTGCATCGCCTGTCCCATTACCACAGCACTACTATTCCTTACATATGTTGAAAAGGAACAACACTGGCATAGCTGCAATGTGATTACAGACAAGTTCTGTGCATAACAGACTTTTTTGGCAAGTTGTAATGGTTATAAACCATCCAGATTTAAGTTGTGAATGCTCCATCCCTGGCGGTGTTCAAGACCAGGGTGGACAGAGCCTTGGGTGACATGGTTTAGTGTGAGGTGTCCCTGACCATGGCAGGGGGGTTGGAACTAGATGATCTTAAGGTTCTTTCCAACCCTAACTATTCTATGATTCTGTGATTAAGGGAGCATACATAAACCCTATGCCATCAAGCATAAGCTTGTCACAAAAGTTACTCGATGTTCTGAGCTAAAATCTCATTTAAGTCTCGTTTCAGAAGGACTGATAGTTGAGGAACTTTCTGCAAAGGGGTCAGTGGATCAGTAACAACCTCTGAAGTAGGTGCCAGAAACCAGAGCCACAATGCATGTATGAGAAGACTTAGGATTACAGTCACAGGACCAGTGGGAATGCTGCCAAAGTCACAGGACCAGTGGGAATGCTACCAAAGTCCTAAAGGGCCCCATGGCTGTCAACATGACATTACAGGTAGCACTCATATCACCATTGGGTGCTCTACTCAAGGAAAGCACAAACTGCCTCAAAACCTTGCAGCTTCATGCACTGCCCAAGAAACTTTTGGGCATCTCCAATGCATGTGTATACAAGAAGTCTGAATTGTGGAGGAGAAAAACTTGTTTCATCACATCAGCAATAGCTTGATTTGGTAGGGTCCATCTTCTGCATGAAAGAAATCGTTTCTGATTTGCACTCCTGAGAGGCTGCACAGTCTGCTGTCTGCCTCTCTCTACCCTTTCAAAACTCTCCTGCACCTGAGGAGCTTACTTCCCTGTGCACAGCATCCTGAATAGTACTGTCTTGAACAGGTACTGCAACATCAGAATTTCCACAAAGTGCAAGGAAAATCAAAATGTTATCTCTGATACCTTATGCTTACTCTGCAGTTCCACTACCAGTCAACCCCCAGCTGACAAGCAATTCATCACCAACCATAAACCAGGAAAAGTCCATTTACCTAAAGAATGGGTGATAGATGAACAGGTTTCCAACAGTATTTCTGTCAAAGCCGCAGGGTCTAAGTGCTCCTTATCAAACAGCAATAGCCTGTCAAATGAAAAATCACTGTCAGAAGTCTGCTCGACTTCCCCAGAATTCAGTGTCATCCTCAATTTCATTAAACAGTTTGAAGCAACAAAGAAAATAATCATCAAAGTGGAATGCAGAAAGGAGAATTACCCTTTAAAGTAGGCATTCATGGCTTGTAGCACTCCGAGCTGCACTTTCCATGTGCCGAGTTTCAGACGGTCACACATTAACTTGCAAAAGTCTTGGCGATAGCAGCCTGCAGAGAAATAAGGATGTCATTGTGTTACCACAAGGAAAGGCAGAAGGAAAACACCTCCTGCTCTGTCTCCCAGGTGTTCCTTGTGCTCCTCTCCAAGTGACATCAAGCTAGTCACTGCATATAACCAAGTCAACATTCTGCAACAAGTGACCCTGAAAATCTTCACCACATCAACACTCATTATGAGCACTTGAAGACAAACCAGCTGCACCACACATTCTGGCATGCTAATGAGAGCAACCATTTGTTTTTTTCACGTATTCCCAGTTCCTTCACCATGTACCAACTCTGATGCGAACATAAATGTGAGCAGCAGAACTATGCAGCTTTTGACTAGCCAAACCACCTTAGGCACCCTGTGTGTTTTCAAAAACTCAGAACAATTTGGTGAGTGGATTTAAAACAGTGAAGGTTTTCCTCAAGGATGGGCTGTTCTGTGTGAAAGCTGCTGGGAGGAGCTTTCTCACTGATCTTGCAAGCTGCAGGCAGTGAGATCCTGCACCTTCTCGAAAGCCTCCTAACACCCTCTGCATGATCGCCAGGTCTCTCCCTCCTCCCCCTTTCAACTTCAAGAAGAAAGAGTTTGAGCCAAGAAAGCCTGCTCTGCACACCATTAGCTGACTTACGCTGTGTCTCTGGGCTCCTCGGCCAGGCTTTGCCCAGGGTCTCAAAGGCACAGATCAGTGACTCCACCTGCACTTCTTTCTCCCTTGTCTCCTCGTCCTCTTCATCATGCTTTGGTAAACCTGTGCCCAAGCTCTCAAGAGAGTTCTGCAGAGGGCATGGGGGGAAGGTAGGATCAACAGAAGGATGAGGGAAGGTCAGCCACACACTTCAGTGCCATTCAGTCTTCCCTTGCAGTCTGTGCATGCCAGTCCTTGCACCCAGACAGTGCCTCCACATAGATGAAGCACAGGCCCCCTTGGCCACCGGTAGCTCTGGTGCTACCGGCAGCCTGCACAAGTGCACAGCAGGCTCCGTGGCCTTGCACCCAAACACCTGCCTGTGCTATCCAAGTCCCTCTTGAAGAGCTGCAAAGCACTGCTGATACTGAACAGCAGCACCCAACACAACTTCCTAGGAGTCTCTTGCTGCCTGCAGAGCAGCCAGGAATTAACTTTTAATGCTGTATCATAGAATCACAGAACAGTTAGGGTTGGAAAGGACCTTAAGATCATCTAGTTCCACAGGCAGGATCAGGGCAGTGCTGGGAAGGACTCTGTCAGAGAGCAGTTGGGCCAATTCATAATATGGGCCACACAGGTGCAACCCCCCAGGGGCTCATCAGCAGTCTGGTATTTATTCAGCCCCACCAGGAATCTGGCTGAGTGTGGGGTATTCCTCACATCATCAGCCTTCTGGTCAGAAACCTGCCATGCATCAGCCAGACTGTCGTCACCACTTGGGTGTTTTGCTTTAGAAGAGGGAGAATTCAGCAAGCTGAACTGTCACCTTCTTTATCATGGGGAAGACGATATCTGCCAGCTCCTGGAACCTGTCTTCCTTTGTTGCCTGCAACACCCCAGCTGCACAGCGCAGTGCCACCATCTTATACTTCAGGTTCTCTTTCCGACATTCTTTCAGGACAGCCTGGACAATATCACTGATGGTGGGCTGGCCAGGCACTGACTTCTGTAGCTCTGCACTGAAATACAAGGAACACACGAACTATCAGACCGATAGTAATCCCCTCCCAAACAATGCTTTTCCCATACCTAGGAGGCAATTCTTGTGTCTAGGCACAGGGGTGCCTACCAACAGCTGCAGCTGAAGTTACAGTCTGATCCTCTTCTTCGCTCTTACCCTGTCCTCCCTCATTTCTTTGTCTTTACTCACATGCTTCCAACACACTTCCCTGCTTTTCCTCTTCTACCTCTTCCTCTCTTTTACTCTTTAATGTGTCGATCCTTCCCCTTAGCCTCTTCTTTCCTTCTAGTAATTCTCACCTCTCAACATCCTCTTCTTTGCCCTAAATCAACCATTTATCTCTGCAGGTCTCTATGAAGCATCACTTGCCCCTCCCAGCATTCACCAGTGACCCACAGATTGGCAAGTGGAGCAGATTCCTCCTGAGCTGATGGGAGATAACGATGGTGTTCACAAATTATATAGTCTCCTTAGCACCACACAGGCAACACTGTACAACAACCTCCTTTTTGAGATCCCAGATCTTGAGAGTACCACTTACTTGCATGCAGAGACAACACTGGCGATGGCCTTTAACAGCTCCTCCTGCAATGAATAAAACGGATACCAGTGAGAAATGCCATGCAACCAAATGGCACAGTCCTACTGCACAGACAAAACCTTTGTACTGTGCTGCGAGAGTTGGTGGGGGAATATTTCTATGACACCAGCCTAGACAAAAAGTGTCTCCTTCCTGCCACTCCTGCTACAGAAGACTTGGCATTCCATCTGCACTCAACTGGCAGTGGAAAATTGCCTTGCAGCACCTCTGTGAGGAAGCTAGGACATCTGAAGGCTAGAATATGGTGCAGAGGAGTAGTTTAAGTGGAACCCAAATCCTAAAGCAATATGAACAGCACATACTTGTTTTCCCTGTCATTTTAGTATCTGCTGAATGAATACAGGGCAAAAGGCAGACCTCCTAAGCCAGAGTTCCTACACATGCTGCTCTGCAGCACAGAATGTTACGTGTCCTGGCTCAAGGGCTGCATGCTGGTGCTCAGAGATCCAAGAGGTGCCACTTCCTTTCTTACCTTCCCAGTCCAGGTTCTCCCTGGAAGGCCTTGAAGCAGTGCTGACAGCACTATGCCGAGATGTGGCGGTACAAGGGAGCCTGTCTGCTTGGCAATTGATGCCATTGCTGCTGCTCCCTGGGCTTTCATCTTCCAGGACTGGGACTGCAGAGCTTTCTGGGTAATGGTTATCAACTCCTGCATGTACAGCCTGATGCCACCCTGGGTACCTGCATGTCAAACAGGAAAACTGTTAACTGTGCCATGAAAGAAACAAAAACCTGATCCTTTTTGGGGGAGGGGGTGGGGGGGGGTGGGGGTGAGGGAAGGCAGACAAAGCAGTTACAGGTTTGGGTGTTTTCTTTATTTTGGAGGGAAACGGGTGGATGAAATGTATCAGCTAGGCCTGCTTCAGGCACTGGGGTGAGGAATTCCTCCCAGTTACATTCCCAGACACCTGAAATGTAATCTGGTGACTGAGGGACCAGATCCAAGAATCAGGTCAGAGAAGGAACCAGCAAAACCATCTCACCATGCATCCAGATCTCTTTCTACATGCATAAAGTATGGCAAAATAGCCCTTCTTTAGCTCAAATTCATTCACTGAGGTTAAAGCCACTGCACCTCCACACAGATCTCCAACCTGAGACACAGGCCAAAGCCCCCTGTAACTTCAGGATGTGCAGAGCAACCCTTAAAGGCTGGCATCAAAATTTCCAAAGCTGTCCAGCTCTGAGCCCCAGTCAGGGACACGTTACAGTGACATTCAGTGCTTCACAGTCTTGGAATACTTCTCCTGACTGTGTCTGTGTATCCTCAGCAATCACACCTCTGTAATTATTTTAAATAGCCACAGAGAAGCTGACCTGCTGAAATTCATACATGACATCTTTAGCAAGAAAGAAAATGGAAACAGACCGCCCAAACCTTTTGCCACAAGAATTCTGTATTTCCAAAATGGATTCTCAGAAAGCGTATTTCTTGCCCCATGCTTCCCAGAAAGCTTTTACTACTCTTAAAACAACTTACCAGGTACATTTTCCTGCCATACTTCAGTCCACAGAGCGGAATTCTCTTTGTCTCCTTTCTCTTCATCGGGAACCTCATGCATGCCAAGAAAAGCCAATGGCAGCACATGTTTGGCATGGCTCTTCACTACGTCTGGACTGTAGCGTCCCATAGAATGCACAGTTAAAGCACAGCCTGTCCTGTAAACTGGCTCTGAAGGAGCAAAACAATCACATGTTATTACTGGGAAGCAGGATTTCCTTTAACAGCTTGGTCTGCTTCTTGGGAAGCAGAGGGATGCACAATATTGTATAATGATGCATGGGAATTACTCAGTCAATTAGCATCACACTATAGAAATGTTTCTTTACCAGCTTTTGTTATCACCAGGAACCTTTCTGCACTGTATTCTGCAACTGAACACCCCCAAAGCAACATACCTTCCTTCTCCATGTACCAGCTGCTGAGTTTGTGCAGCAGCTTCTCAGTGCTAGTGTCTCGGGAAGTCTGTAACAGGGAAGAGGCTTAAATTACTCCAACACTTTAGAAAAGCCCAGCCAACAACAAAAAAACAAAATGAAACTTAAAACTGCCTTAAACCCCAACTCACCCGGACCAGGTGCCCCATAGCAAAGGCAAAAGACTTCTGTATCACGCTGTTGCGATCTGTCAGGCCACTAAGTAAAGCACTCATAAGTTTGCCTGGTGGAAGAGATTTCATTTTAAGTATCCTATTTTTATTGCTGTGGCAAGAATTACAATAGCCTGCATTTCATTAGATTGAATGAGTTTAGGCATTTTTCTTCATCACATGTTTGTGGGGTTATAGGTCTGTTAGTCCTTATCACAGAATCACGGAATCACAGAATCCCAAGGGTTGGAAGGGACCTCGAGAGATCATCTGGTCCAACCCCCCTGCAAGAGCAGGGTAACCTAGAGTACATCACACAGGAACTTGTCCGGGCGGGCCTTGAATATCTCCAATGTGGGAGACTCCACAACCCCCCTGGGCAACCTGTTCCAGTGCTCTGTCACTCTCACAGTAAAGAAGTTCTTCCTGATGTTAACGTGGAACCTTCTATGCTCCAGTTTACACCCATTGCCCCTTGTCCTATCACTGGATATCACTGAAAAAAGCCTAGCTCCATCATCCTGACACCCACCCGTTACATATTTGTAAACACTGATGAGGTCACCCCTCAGTCTCCTCCAAGCTGAAGAGACCCAGCTCCTTCAGCCTCTCCTCATAAGGGAGGTGTTCCACTCCCTTAATCATCTTTGTGGCTCTGCGCTGGACTCTTTCAAGCAGTTCCCTGTCCTTCTTGAACTGAGGGGCCCAGAACTGGATGCAATATTCCAGATGCGGCCTAACCAAGGCAGAATAGAGGGGGAGGAGAACCTCTCTTGACCTACTAACCACACCCTTTCTAATGCACCCCAGGATGCCATTTGCCCTCTTGGCCACAAGGGCACATTGCTGGCTCATGTTCATCCTCCTATCCACCAGGACCCCCAGGTCCCTTTCCCCTTTGCTACTTTCCAGCAGGTCAACCCCCCAGCCTGTACTGGTACATGGGGTTGTTCTTCCCCAGATGCAAGACTCTACACTTGCCCTTGTTGAATTTCACCAAATTTCTCCCCGCCCAACTCTCCAGCCTGTCCAGGTCTCGCTGAATGGCAACACAGCCTTCTGGTGTGTCAGCCATTCCTCCCAGTTTAGCATCATCAGCAAACTTGCTGAGAGTACACTCAGTTCCCTCATCCAGGTCGTTGATGAAAATATTAAACAGCACTGGTCCCAGCACTGACCCCTGAGGGACTCCACTAGTTACAGACCTCCACCTAGATTCTGCCCCATTGACCACAACTCTCTGTCTTCTTCCCTTCAACCAGCTCTTGATGCACCTCACTACCTGATCATCAAGCCCACACTTCCTTAGCTTATCTATGAGAATGCTGTGGAAGACAGTATCAAACGCCTTACTGAAATCAAGAAAAACCGCATCTACCACTCTACCATCATCCCTCCACCTAGTCACTTCCTCATAGAAGGCTATAAGGTTGGTCAAACATGACTTCCCCCTCATAAAACCATGTTGGCTGTTCTTAATAACGCCCTCATCCTTGATATGCCTAGAAATGGAGTCAAGAGTAAGTTGTTCCATCACCTTTCCAGGGACAGAGGTAAGGCTGACCGGTCTATGATTACCCGGGTCCTCCTTCTTGCCCTTCTTATAGACTGGTGTGACATTTGCCATCCTCCAATCCTCAGGCACCTCTCCCGTTTGCCACGACTTACCAAAGATGATGGAGAGTGGCCTAGCAATGACCTCCGCCAGCTCCCTCAGCACCTGTGGGTGCATTCCATCCAGACCCATCAATTTATAGATGTCCAGATTGCATAGCTGATCCCTAACCCAATCCTCATCTACCAAAGCAAACTCCTCCTTTGCCCTGACTCCTTCTGGGGCAATAGGAATCTGGGCCCCCTGGGGAGAGTCTGCAGGAGTAAAGACAGAGGCAAAGAAGGCATTCAGCACCTTTGACTTCTTTAAATCCTCTGTTTCCAGGGCACGCACCTCATTCAGCAGTGGGCCTATATTGCCTCTTGTGTTAGTTTTATTAGCTATGTATTTGAAGAAGCCCTTTATATTGTCCTTAACCCGACTAGCAATATTAAGTTCAAGGAGGCCTTAGCTGTCCTAATTGCCTCCCTACATCCTCTAACAACTGTCCTATATTCCTCCCAAGTGACCAGCCCCTCCTTCCATAGTCCACAGATTCTCCTTTTCCACGTGAGTTTGCCCAGCAGCTCCTTGTTTAACCACGCTGGTCTCCTGGCTCCCTTACTTGATTTCCTGACCATTGGGACGCTCAGATCCTGAGCTTGGAAGAAGCGGTCCTTGAATGCTGACCAACTATCTTGAGCCCCTTTACTGCCTAGCACCCTTTCCCATGAGACTTCTCTTAGCAGTTGATTGAAGAGGCCAAAGTTGGCCCTTCGGAAATCCAGAACTGTGGCCTTGCTAGGTATTCTATTCCTCCCACACAGGATCCTAAACTCCACCATCTCATGGTCACTGCATGTTTAAACAAGTGCACAGTGTAACACAGCAAAACTCAGAAGAATCTAGTGCCCTGAAAGCCGCAAACTGCACGCTTTGACTGGTAATATTCCTTTATGCAAGCATCCCAGCTCCTCATGCTGTCAGCTTGCTTTCTGTTTTGCAACAGAAAGGTGACCTCCTTTCTATCATCAAATCACAATAAACTGTAAAGAGAAGACTGAGATACAAGGAAGCAAAGTCCCTATTTATGGCTCCCCCATAGCTCAACTAGAATAAACAAGAGCTTATTGACAGCATTGCATTGTTTGTCTGCTCCAAGAAAGTCTAGAGAAAATTCTGTTTGTTCCTGCTGGGCCCTAGAGAATTCCCTGAAATCCCTCCCTGCTCTTCTTCCAACTTGGTGAGGTACGTAACATCCAAAGGACCTTCCCCCAGCATGCCAGTCTCATACAAACTGCAACTGCAAACAGCTCTCTGAGGAAAATACACAGGTAAAGGTCATTCAGATGATAAAATCAAGGGCCAGTAGGGAGGAAATAATACCTACAGAACAGCAACAAAAAAGTACCTTTAAAACCTGACACCAGAAACAAACCTCACCTGAATAAGGTGCTAAGTCCTGAGGACACTGTGTGGTTAAAGACACGATTACACTGGCACAGCCTCCCTGGAAGATTGCAAGGGAAAATAAAGGTGAGATGAAACAGTATTAGCTCCTGGCTATTTCTGTTGATACTTTCTGCAATGTTATATGCATTCTTATGACATGATCTAGGCCCACAGAGCCTCTGCCCTGATAAGCTGGGAGCAACAGTGGAAGCAGAAAAAGTTTGCAACAAATGAATTACAAGAACTGAATTAAGAAGTAAAAAGATTACCAGGACCTACACTCAGGATAGATGGTCCTGGAATATATACAGGGACCAAAAACAACCTTCTGCACTCAAGTGTTACAGAGCACAACCACTGTTTAGCCCAGGGGAGGTTAAGGTAGTACATACCCAGAAAATTACAAGTTTGATAGTAACGTAGGTGGCTTGAGACTCAGATGTAAAAAGACTCCAGCACAATCCCAAGCTGTTGCTTTGAGACAGTCAAAAGGAGCATATTTACATTGATACTGCTTGTGTTTCTTTCTCCATTTCCAAATGGAGTACTAAAATCACAGACATACCTTTGTGCCAAGGCCTACTCCGCTTTTGATCAGTTCACACAGCCGAGGAACCAGCTCACCCAGGACAGAGACATCCAAATACTGCAAGCTCTAGAGAAAGGCAAGGGATCAGGAAGTGGGGGAAAGGATGGTGGAAGGGGGGAGAAAAAAGGAAGGTAATAGTGGCAGTCTGAAGCTGGTCTGCTTTCAGCTGAGTCCTGCCTATAGCTGAAGGTCTTCAGCTGAATTGTGAGAGTTTGCTGTACAGTGGGAAAAAGGCACCACAAATTGGCTTTCACCACACAGATTCTCTTGTGCCACTTTTGTGCTGAGATGACCCTGTCAAAATTACTATTTGCTAGAACTGATGCTTCCCTGCACTCCAACTGTTTAGCAAGCTACAAGTGACACACTAGCAAGAACTCCGTTTGGGGAGGGAAAGAGATGCAAAGGTGTGCACATCTCAGGACAAACCCAGTATTTCCAGAACTGTCTGAAACCCTGAAAAAATAACATATCCAAACCAGACGATGAAACAAATCTAGTTAGGAACATTTTTAAACAGGTCAAGACAAAACAAGTGGTATAAATGACAAAGGTACAAGAGTAGTGCTGCTGGTACCACACTGGTATCACTTGTAACTCCTATACCTAAAATAACACTGGGCAAAACAGAAAGCTTCATATAGCCAGCACTCTCTGTAGCACACTGTCTGCAGAGGGGAGATCCATCCTCTAGCAAATGCAAGGATCACATAATAACTGAAAGCAACCCTCTCAAAGCTTCAGACATCCCATCAGCTGTCACTTTCCACTCCTGTACCAGTATAGTGAAAGGAATAAACCTTTATAATGTCCCAGCCAGACCCAGAATATAGAGCAATAGACAGAAGGTTAGTCATAAACCAGGATATCTCCACGCTACTCCGGGAAAGCCATACTATCATTCCACTCTCTTAAGAGATCCCCAGCACTGACCAGGGCTGCACAACTGCCCCAGGGCTGGCAAGGGAGAGCCATGGTTTGACGGAGGGACAGCAGCAGCTGCCGTAGCCTGAGGGATGGCAGTGAGTACACTTTTACACAGATCCTTTCATTCCCAGCCACTTTACACACTATTTATAGAGCACCCCACCTGACACCGGACTCGGCTTCGCAAGCTGTTATGTACAGGACTCGCTGGTGTTACTTTTCCATAAGCACAGGAAACAAAGAATAGCTCTGGTGACTATGCTTCTCTTAACAGCGCTTGCACCCGCTGCCTGCTTGCATGCCCATGGCTGTGAGCAGTGCCTGGGCAGAAAAGAGTGGCCTTTTCTTTGGTAAGGGACAGGCTCTTACAGAGGCCAAGGAGCTCTGCCAGGACAAACACCACAGCACATTGTCTGGGCATCAGCAACTCCTCCTCCAGCAGCTGGAAACGCTGGTGACAAACACCAGCTGCTGACAGTGCTTTCAATGATATCAGCATTTCTTCTAAGTATCTCCCCCCTCAAAACATTGGCAAGGCCCAGGTAGGGATTATCTTAACACAACATGAAGCAAGGGCTAGACAGCAATATATGCCTTAAGAGCAACAACTATCATCAGTTGGAGGCTCAGGTGAGAAGCTGATTGTGGAAATGAGGGCCAGAGAAGAAGAGAAATAGCAGCCAGCATAATTCAGAACCAACTGAACCCCCGTTCAAATTAAAATACTTGAAAGACGTCCCTTTCATCAAGGCAGGCACGTCTACGGGTACAGAAACAACCCATCTGACACCAAATGGAGCCAAGATTATTCAGGACTGATCTGAGGACCAAGTTGTGGCATTGGGATGAAATAAGTCAGCACATGAAAAAGAAAGAGGACAGCCATCCACATGCAGATGTGACAACAAAATGAATCCTGAAGAGGTATTCTGCAAAGCTTCCCTTTGATTCATATTCTTCTATAACATACCTTACAGTGGAACCCTTCTCAATCAAGTACTTACCAAGTTAATGGTTTCCATCATGGGAGACGACCTGACAGCATTAAGTCTGGCACTATCCATTGCAGTCTGGAGACAAAAAAAAAAAAAAAAAGGTGGGGGGGGAACCCAAAATCAAGTGTAAACTCAACATGAAAACAGTGGAAAGGGCAACATCAGCTATAACTTGCTTCCTCACAGACTCAAACCAAAATCCATTTCAGATGCATACAGAGAAAGACTATGAATGCTTCACTTTCAGAGGCAGAAGGATGTTCTAACTAGAGTACATGAGAATGAAATTAGCTAAATCTGCTTCTGAACATTGGGTTTCACTCAGTTTCCCATTAGACTGCTACTGATTAATACAGTTCTTTGAGGGAGATTAAAGGACACAGTGCTGATAACATCCACCTCCAGCCCACAGTGCTACGGCACATCTAATTTACCAGAACTCCTGCAGGTCATCTCTTGGGAAAAACAGAGAATTTTGACAGTACAGGTGCATTCCACATAATTATTACAGACTGCCTCTTTGAATGTTTCACAGCTGTACGTGGAGTGAGGTGACACATAACAACAGTTCTAAGATTGTTCTTCAGTTTCTGAAACATGTGGTGGTTTAGTGAACAAAAAAAAAAAAGCATAACCCCTAAAAAAAAAAAAAGAAAAAAAAAAAGAAAAAAAAGGCAAACAAACAACTAAACCCCACATTTGTCCAGCCATATTCCAATGACCAAACTTTATTAGTAACTTACTAGCTGTTTCTCTTTATACCTTTGAACACCCCTCAACCAAATCTGCTATTTTTCTGTTTACCAAATGAAGCTTAAATCTTTGTCATCTCTGTTCTGTTGATACCTTCCCATAGCAATTGCACTTACTTTCTCCTGCTCTGTTGCACAAAGACTCAAATAATTGAGGACTTGAGGTTCCAGCACACTCAAGGATTCCAGCAGAGCCGGGATAAGTTTTGGTGCATGAGGTTTCAGCATAGACCCAGCACTTTTACTGATCTTCACAAGAGTGTTAATGCTAGAAAAAGACCAAAGGGGAGGTCAACATAGAAACACACAGACTCAGCTGAGAAACCGCTCTGATCTACTCTAATCCAGTACCAACAAAAAGGCCAATACAAATCTCAGATACACCAATATAAATCTACCTGCAAACAAAAATCTGTGTATTTTTCTGCTTAATCAAAATAATATCCTAGCCCTGAGCTTCCAACTGATGCTACACTTTGCAGAGATTGCTTACTTTGGCCAGGGTATCATTAAAGGAATGGGCAAAGGGGAAGTACCACAGACAGATATAAGAAGAATTAACACATCTTCATGTTTTAAAGAAGCTCTGGGCAAAGTCATCCCGAGATATCCACTGCCCAAGAAAAACAAATTACAATGATCTGTTCAAATACCACGTGTCAGTTTCAGACTCACCACATCTCTCAGGCTGCATTTTGACAAAGGGTTTTCGTATCTTCAAAAGGGATTAAAAAATTCAGGTAGCATTTACTATAATGTGTTAGGAGCTCTCTAACCTTCCTGGATAATCATGTTCAATAAAAGAAAATTACTTTTGCAAAGACCAGCCACACATCAGGCCTCAATTTTCCAGCCTGTCTCACACAAATGAAGGACTAAACAAGGTTACAAAGTGGCAAGCATATGAAATGTCTACACATCAAGGGACACTGAACCTTTACAAGACATAACATGTATTTGAACAGCACGAACAAGTGCAGTCGCCTCTGGGATGTGAGCTGTCATTACTCACAATAAGTTGTGAAATAAGACCTGACTGTTTCAAGAGCTACCATGGGACTTTTTGTCTACAAGCAGAAGACATATGCTAGTCCTGAAGACAAATCTTCAGCACAGCAAACTGCTTGCAGATCAGTTTGCCAGTTGTACAGGGAGAAAAGGACTTCCTGATGGGAACTGAATTTGGGCATTTGCAGAGAGGCCAGATATTCTCAAAGATGCGTACAGTTTTGGGAGCTGCTGTTTGAACTCAGTGAGAGGAGGACTAAGCAGGAAAGCAGTCCTGAGGAGAAACTTGTCCCTTCAAACACATTCTGCAACTCGAGCGAATAAGCTGGGTCTCTCTGGGACAACTGTGAGGGTGGTGAGACACTGGCACAAGTTGTCCATAAATGCTGTGGCTGTTCACAGCCAGGCTGGATAGGGCTTGGAGCAACATGGTCTAGTGGAAGGTCTTCCTGCCTATGGCAGGGGGTTGAAACTAGATATGTGAAGTCCCTTCGAACCCGAACCATTTTATGATTCCAATGTTCCATGAAATCATGATACAACCCCCAGGGAATTTACATGATGCAAAACTAACCTGAGAGATCGGACTTCAGCAACTGTGCTTACTATCCCTTTGTCTAGGAGGCAAGGGAGTAATACAGCTATCGTCTTCTGACCCACTGCTCCTTTAGAGGGCTCACACATTTTCACACAGACCTAGGGACAGGTGAGAATCCACGTTGGAAGCATGTACAAATCTCCTGCTCAGATTACATTAAAGCACCTTTTCCTTCAGACAGGAAGTCAATGGCAACTACAGCAACTGCTCAAAGCCAAACAAAGCCTCTGTTACATTTTCGTTCCCCTCTCCAGGAGGTACTTAAGCCAAGTCACATTCACAAAAGGAGTTTCAGCTAGAGTCAGCTTCCAGAAAAGCCAGATTCAGAACTTAGCAGGCCTTGATGTATATCCAGATGATGAGACAGACCAAATGACCTCTCAGTTAAGGGACAGCCTCTCAGCCACGTGGATTCAAATATTCCACTAGGCAGAAAAGCAAGGCCCAGGTCAGAAGATTCTGCAGTTGCAACATTTTGGTACAAGATCAGAACTTGTGCCACTGAAATGTCACACTGCATGCACCATGAAGGTTGTGATTTCACACACAGTTTTTAAGATCTGTTTCCATTTCCACTGATCTGACTTTGTGAAAGGAATACCAAACAAAATATTAAGTGATACATATACTACACCCCAAAAAATCTGTCACTAACAGCACCAGGGTGTGAAGCCAAGAGTGGATTACTTTGTTTCACACCAGTAAGGTTCCACTGGACTTGGTCAACTACATCAGTTGGACTTGAAGTTGTACGAAATTTCCTTGAATACCATCCCCAGTGAGACAAAAAGGAGAGAGGGAAAAACACAGCTCATTATATCCTATCCCTCCTTTGGTTGTTTAAGACTTAACATTGCATTATCCTCTAGCAGCACCAAAAAAAGGTACAGAAGAGGATGACTTATGACTGCTTCCTAGGGGGCTGCTCTGTTTATCGTAACTACTTCATACTGGAGGTCTTTTCAAAACAGCCTATGGTAAACAGGTCACTCCTGTAAATATGGTAGTGAATCATTACCTAACATCAAAACTACACACTCCATGTGCAAATGATGAAGAGTTTTACCTTGCTTAAAGTTTTCAGGGCGAGATCTGCTGCCTTTCGCACAGTTTCCTAAAAAACAAGTCAACAATCCATTGTTGCTATTTTGAAAACTTCTCCACAACAACTCATATTAATTTATATCACTCATACTGACAAGGCTATACCCATGGCTAATACGTAACATAGTATTTTTCACAAAAAACTTTTACTCTGGTTCATCTGAGTATCTGGCATACTCAGTGACAAATACATTACTTAACACAGCTCAAACATGGCAGGAGCTGAGGACTCTGACTTCATATATGCAAGTAATTTAAGCACACATGAAGCACAAAATAAATGTTTCTATACTCAGGGGCTAAGCAAATATTTAGAAGTTCTTTCATATCCAGGAAAAATGCTGAGCCATCAAGAATAAGCACAGCAGGAATGAAAACCAACACTTAAAATACACGAAGAATTTCCAAGGTGGCATGGAAATTTTAACTGCAGAATTACTTGTCTGCTTAATCCCCAAAAATCCCATTGGTTTCAACCCGACTTCTCAGAGAATCTCTCTTTAAACATCTTAGAGCTTGATCACTGTACTTCTGTTAAAGATTCCTTTTCAATTATCAGTTCCATTACCTTAATGTCATCTTGCACTCTGAATAGTATTTCCCAGATCTCTGGAAGCTTGTCTATAATGTCATCCAAAGATCTTCCTCTTAGTAAGTCGTTCAATGCCAGACAGCTGCAAACAAGAGGTTTTATGTCCTTCATATGGTATGCTTATTTGCTATAGGTGTATACACAGATATGTTCGTATGTACAAGCAAACCTTTAAAAAAAAATTAAGAACTGTTTCACATTCCTTATTTTCCCCATGCCTAAATGTACACCATCATAATAATGCCTCCTCCAGTAGACAGAAAAAAAAAAGGTCCAGCCAGTCAGGTGAAATCTGACATGAGTGACAGCAAGTGAGAAAGGCTGCTGTGGTGGAAACTGCTGTCACAAACATTCCAATTACAAAATTGTTCCATGTGCTTTTCTGTGAGTACAGGACAAAACCAAACCAAAATGGTCTAAAATCTAGGACTGAAATTAAAATGGAAGTTTTCAACACAGTATAAATAAAAATCATTGTAAATAAAAAAAACAATTGAATAAAAATGGGATATAGACTGGCATCCTGCTGCCAAGTATGTACACAGCCAGACTGCCAAGGTTTTCTAATATTAAGCGATATTTCAGGTCCAAGGACAGGGAAGAACTTTGTGACCAGAGAACTCCTCCTTCAGCAAATGCTGTTTAGTATCATGCTCAAGCCACATGCAATAACAAATTTCAGGCTCAATGAAGCAAATAGCATCAAGATTTTATTACACTTCAAGTTCAGACTACTAGACCAGTCTCTACCTTGATGAAAGGATGTGTCCTCTTTCCCCCCTCAACTTCTTCAGGTTAACAAATTTATGGTGAAGAAAAGAACAGAGTTCAAAGAAAAATATGTTACTTTTTCTAGCAATACCTGGACTCCCTTATCCTCCACAGACTGCTGGTTAGGTTACAGATCAAATCTTCAAGAATTTCCTTCATGTACTTATCAACCTATTATTAAAAAAAAGGCAAAATAATGAAACAAGTACGGACAATGCATCCTTGTCTTGTTCTATGATGAAGAAAAGTTTCTTTTGAACAGTACAGCCTGCTCGTAGCCACAGCAGATGAATTAATAATTCCCAGATCTGACCCCATGCAAACTTACTCTGACTTTGCTTTAGACATGCCCTTTCCTGCACCGCTTGAGGGCTTAATGTGACGGAGGTGACAAGAAAAGAGGAAGTCCCTCAGTCCTTTATCAACTGAACTGTTTAGATGCAACTGAACTGTTTAGATGCAGCAGCAAGCACAGCAAGCACAGATTTACAGCAATGGCATCTCACAAAAATCATTTATTCCTGAAACTTGTCTTAGAGAAACTGCTTCCCATGGGCTTCCTCCCACTTAAAAACTGAGGAATCGTATTTAGATGCTCTTGCTCTAGGAAGGGCATCTTAGGCCGTAAGAATTCCTGAAGAGCTTCTCATAAGCAATATGAAAACAATATCCAAGTGTGGAAAGACTACAATTCAAGTAAATCATAGATTTTATCGCAGGCTGTGCAAACAAGGTCTGCAATTATTCTTTCATATACAGGAGCATCCTCCTCTGTGCACCCTCCAGCTCATCCACGGATTTAAGCACCTCTTTCTCTGCAGGACAATACCTCACCCCTTCCTGCATAGCCCCTCCTTTCAAAGACACAACTGTTCAATGAGGATCTCCGAGACACTGCTGGCTAGCAGCAAACCCACCAACTCTGCACTTTGCTGCTCACTCACCATCGTCTTGTCGGTGACCAAGGCATTCCAAATGCTGGTCATTGCCTGTCGAATCCCCAGGTTGGGGTCAAACTGGTAACGGTATAGCCGGGGAAGAAGCTGGGGCAAAAATGGAGCCAGCTGCTCTCCAGCCTTGGCAGCTATCACATTAAAACCAAAAGCTGCTCCCTGAAATGACAAGAGAGTATTTGCTGAAACAATGCTCACTCATTCAGTCATTGCTTCTGAGCACACCATCGTCGGAGGCAAACTGACTGATACAGTTCAGATTTAGACCAAATCAAAATGAGTAAAATGTTACCAGAATCAGTCCCCCATCAGTGCTACAGTACCACACTGATCTTAAGCATACAATCACACTCAACAGTCAACATATTAGTCATAAAGTTCCTTCTCTCCAACCTTCAAGATACTTACTGACCTTGCTTGCAAAAAGTGATGGTGAAGAATTAAAATTATGAAGATTTGAATATGTTTTGCCAGAGAGATTCTTTCTGGGAAAGACCAGCGAGTGTGGGCCACTGCTTCCCTACAACTCTGCTGCACTTACGATTAGATTAATTTAGGAACTGAGAAACTAAAAATAAAACAACTCCACTTTATCTCTACAACCTGAAAATTCTGGGGATTATGATTTTGCCTCCATCTATAATGAAACTCAAATACTCTTCCACCCTCTTTTCTTTCTTTCTTCACCACTCTCAATTCCACTCTCAAATCCAACACAGTGGAACTGATGCAGGATAGCCCAAAACTAAATTGTTCAATACAGGCCAGTGCATTATCTACTGATTTCATGTTTCCTGCTTTGCAGTGTCAAAGGCTGCCACTCAAAACCCCACTCTAAGGATTTCACAGGGCAGGATGTGCTGTCTGGGTTAATCTAAAAAAACCAACAAAGAGTAATAAAGGCACACCCTCAGCTAGAACTACTGCTGTGAGGAGCAAGGGGTTGCAGAAAGTATAAAGAAAAGGGAGGCATCATCTGCAAGGCCCTGAACAGCTTGCTCTGACTCACTCTTGTATGGAGGTTTGAAGCACAGACTTCCAGATGCCCCTCCAACTTAAATGATTCTGCAAACTCAAATTCCAAAGCTCAGCCTACTCAGTCACTGAGTCGAATTTCTTGACTCATCCTAGCTGGTGAAATTCCGTGAGGATCAGGAGCCTAATTGTGCTCCTGTGCGTCTCCAGTGCCAATGCAAAGAGAGGCAAGCCTTGAGAGACGTATCAACTTGCTAAACTCTGGACGAAAGTTAATGCTGGGGCGTTTTTATTTTTGCACCAAGTGGTGTTTCCAGAGACTCAAAACATCAGCCAGCAAGCATGAAAGAGCACAAAAGGTGCAATACAGTAGATGCAGCTACCAGAGTCTTCTGCATGAAAGCACATGAAAGGTGCTCTGCCTGCTTCCTGGAGGAAAGTTTTTCCATGCTTATGTAAAGCTAATGAAATAACCCTCAAGTTACAGCTCTGAAAAGTGTGCTTAAATCTTCAAGTTTATGATGATACTTTTTTAAGCAGGATACGGATCCAAGAGTATTTTGGCTTTGCTAAAGGTCCCTATAGCTCTAAAATATCAAACTTGACTTGAAAAATAATGCTTTGACAACAGTGATTAAACTTGTGTATTGTCAATTGTTTTTTTCATAACTTGTTCCTGAATATTTTTTGCTCTTCCTTTTTACATAAAAAAGTCACTCTGGCATCTGCAAATTCATCCAGCTCTGAAAATGTTATCTCACTGTTGGATCACATCAAGATCTGGCTCCCAAGCACACTCAAAAGTAAAAAAGGAAGGATCACAGTTGATATAGAGAGGAATGCAGGATGATATGAACCCTGTGATACCAATGTTTTGTTTTAAGAATTTCAAGTAATCTTAAATTTGTTCTTCAGGCAGGTAAATTTGCATAGGACCTGACACCAAAGCATCAACAAATGTGCAATTATCCATATTTCATATAACCAGAGCTAGAGAAAGGCAGTTATTGTTTCTGGAGTTCATAGTGGGAATATAAATGGTATGAAAGCAGCAAATTACCTTTCGAGAATTCCACATGGCGTGATGGTTGGCCAGATTCATGAATTTGTACACCAAGTCTGGTTGATTGAGATCACTAGCCAGTGAACAAAGCTCCTTGTAGGTAGAAAGGCCTTGACTTTGGAAAGCAGAAGGGAAATCGGTGTCACTATTTTTAGCTACACAAATGCCATTAATAGGTAAAGCTATAGTCAGCTCACAGCCTAAAGCAGAGAGAAGTGAATACCCTATCTGTACTACCAGAAAATAGTTATGGTAACTCAGAGAGCAATGAGGAACAAAAAGCTCAGGAAGTAGATTTGTAAGCAAGGGAATATTGTTTCAGCACTGATTATGTGCCTGCCATCAGGACCATCAGTAAACTTACCCATCTGGGGTTTTGCTCAGGCCACCCTGAAACACCACAGTTTCTCCAGTCATCTCATGTTTGGCTCTGGTAGAAAAGAGATCCAGTATTAGCTTTACCAAAAATCTACCCTTTAATGGACTGCATGCTGCAGGTCAAGTTTGTTTCCTTCATTACTTCAGTAGCTTCCCATTCTTCCAGTTCCAGTCCCACAGAAAACATGTGTGTGAAGCTACGCAATGTATAAGGAACCTCATTAACCTGCATCATGTGTAACATTAAACAGATGATGCAGAAAGTGAGGGCTTTGCTGAGCAGTTAGGAGGTAAAAAGTCAAAACACTGAATGATGTCTTTTTTTTTTTTCTGCCCAGCAAATCTCTACTTTAAAATGAAAAAAACCAAAAAAATCGTATTTTCATCCATCTTAATTCTTCCTGTTTGCCATCACTGGATCTCAACACTCCCAACCTAGGCTATGTCCTATGTGCACACGCACACCAGGCTAGAAGGGAGTGGGCTGTTAAAGAGCACTTTCAGCACTGATCAACAGAATTACTTGCCAGGACTCCTGGAAGACCAGCATTTTTCACACTCAAACTAACAAGCAACCACTCACACTTCCCCAGCAAAAGGTACATTTCATACACAAGCAAGTTCCCAGTTCTGCAACGTTCACATCATGCATTGTCCTTTGCAATTACACAGTTTCCTTCTGGAAACCCCATGAAACCCCACCTGATTTGAATCAGGACAAATGATTTTGAAGCTCTGTTGAATGGAACAAAACCAGAACAACTTCAGTGACAACAATTCTAAGATGAATTAAGACATGTCTGAGTTTGACCCACTAGGAATACATGGATATTGACATGCCCTTTGCCTCAAAACGTCTTTTTCCACACACGAGAGGCACATTCTTGTTCCCATCAAACATACTGCTCAGAATATTCTCACTTTATTCTGAGCTCACTGTACCTTTTCCCTGTCATAAGGGTATCAACAAGTGTGGTGACTAGCTCTTGCTGATCCTCTTCGCTTCCTAGTTCATATACCAGCCCAAGACCTTTTGAAGCAACATCTTGACTAAGCTCTGCAAGAGGTTTTACAAGGTAAAATTAACGATAAGTATGTAATTAAGTAACAAATTTCAAAACCAAGATTCAACCAAAATCATGATCTAGCAAAACCAGCTCTCTGCTGCAGTTCACAGGTTTCCATTTTTGAGCAGATCTAGTCTGGCAAGACATAAGCTTTGTATTCTGAAGCAACAATTTGTTCTGAACTAGGTGACATCTTCACGTTAATACTGTCACTACAGGTTTTGAAAGAGCAGAGAGAATTCCAAGAGCTCCAAGTATTCTGACATGCTGCTGGCCCCTGAAGTTCATTAACATTAGTGGTAATACTATCTCCAACTTCAGTGAGCTTTGGATGGGCTGCCAGCTACCTCCCTTTCCACTAGCAGCCATGGGAAGACCTACAAACAAAATCTGCTAGCTTATAGAGGGCTTAGAGTTCCTGTCCATGCAGAACTCTGCAATACACATCCTACTGTCCAAAGCAGAATAGAAGAATCAATGAACATTTTCTGCTATTACAATTTGAAGAGGTAAATGTAAAAAAAAAGATGTATTTGGTTAGCAAAGCACAGAAAAAGCTGCTTATCTCTACATGCAATGACTAGAAATCATTCCTATTACGTCAGAAATGGGATGTTTCTTCAGTCATCTTTTAATGCTGACTGACAGAGGCATGTAGGTGACTTTCTGGCAGTTCAAAAATTCCCTTCATACTCTTAAATGCCTATGAAAAGACACAACCCTTAACATGCGATAGCACTTACCATCACTATCTGACAGAATTGAAACAAATGCACTTTGAATATCCTTGAGATGAGACTGTAAGTTGAGAAAAAAGGACATTATTATTTTTATCTCAAGTTTTGGATCCTTCATCTGGTCTCAAGTTCTGAACAGATAAACAGAGACTACTGTATCAGTGGAGCTGCCTATTTGAGCTACGCCTACAACTGCTCTCCTTTCCAGACAGGTAAGCAGCAGCCTGACTGACATTAACAGAAGGTAAGTTATTTTTCCAGCACCTTTTTACAACTACCATGCCATTAGTAAACATGTTTTATTTTCCTTGCCTAATACATGTCAGTAATGCACCGTAAATCTGGCTTGCAGCAAGATGGGGCTATCCTGTGTGTGAGGACACTTTTCTTCATCCCCAAACTACTGGATTTGGCCAACTTCCACAAGGACCATTTAGATGAGTATAATATGCAGCAAGGTTTTACATATAACAGCTTACAATTGCAAAGCACCTATTGCCCCAAAGCTCTTTACCTGAAGAGCACAAGATGGCTACATGGTCCCACCACAGTCTGTAGTACCTCTATGCAGGGACAGAACATTATGGCTGGGAAGCCTTTATTAAGTCCTTGTACAGGATCTTTTACATTCTTTCATTATAGACACGCATCCTAAATATTAGGTTCTCCAAGCACACCAAAAATACACAGTGCATGAATCACGTAACAGCTGTTCTTTGGTACCAAAGTTGTGATGAACTCTGAAACAAATGAGTCCAGAAATTTTCCCCCTTCTTCACCTCCTAGACCTCCTTTTAACATTTCCAAAAATAAACCCTAAGAACAGCACAGACCCCAACCTCTCCTCCACAAGGTAAGATGTCCTGCTCCTTCACCCTACAAAAGCCGTTTACACTGTGCTCACTCTAACCTGAGTGCCAGGTCAGAAATTTACAAAGGTGCCAAAAAGCTTCATTCATCTGCCAGTTAGTATGTTCTCCTCGTGACAAAAGATAAGCCAATGTCTCAAAAAATCTCAGTAAGGACTGCACCAGCACTAGGGAAAAAAGGGCAATGGAAGTGAATTGGAATGAAGGGAGAGAAAGGAAGCGAGAGGTAAAAACAGGGACAAGGAGCCAGCATCAGGAAAGGGAATATTTCTTACCTTAATTGCTTTGTGTGTGCTCAGCTTCTTCACCATTGACAGAAGCCAGATGCAAGCTGCCTGCCTAATGTGTGGGTTGGGGCTGATTATGTGCTTGTTCAAAATAAGGTCTAGGACCCAGGGAACCACATCATTCCCTTTCAAATCTATATGAAAAGAAGAAAGGTGGAGGGAAGAAGGGGAGCTTTGAGAATCAGACACACTCATCTTTACTTCCAACATAATGTGCAGCAGTAATTAAAAAATCTAGTTAGCTCATGAATACCCAGATGACACCTTAATCTCTGCGTATTTAGGAAAAGCGTTCACTGGAGTCACTAAGAAAGTATTTCTACTAATAGAAACACTGAATAGAGTCCTCCTAACCCTTCATAAAAGCATTTCAGAGCCTGTGGCCAAAAAGAAGCTGTCAGTTCATGCTGCGTAAGACTTAATGTTCTTTCTGTTAGGACTCAAAACTTCTGGAGCAGTGGCTAGGTTCAGTTTCTAACCCTGTTCTGTACATGCTGAGCTTTGTGCACACTTAAGAGATCTACAACCACCCTCATAACATTAAAAAACCTGTGTGCAGGTCTGAGGCTGATATGTCACTTAATCATATAATTCCAAGTTGTTGGAAATGCTTGCAATTTAATGTCATAACCCTATTTCCCAGTGCAGGCTTCAAAACAATATTCTGAAAGATTTATGTATTTGAATCTGAAACTAACCCAACATGGCAAACCAAAATAAAATAATAGAAGAAATTCAGTGTCAAGTGGCATGAATTAGATTTGAAGAAGCTATTTAACAGCACATGTAAACAGCACACGAAATAGTCTTCTAACCTCTGAGCAAATGGGACTTAAGAGGTGAAATGACCTGTATATAACCAGCATGAACAAACACAAAATACCTCTTACTTCTATGGTTATAAAATCAACCACCACAGAAATAAAGTTATGAAGCTCAGTGTTAGACTGTAACTGTGATATTCTATGTTCCTCAACCCATCCCCTGTATTAGCAAAGCCTACCTGAAGGAGGGATATATTCCTCCTCTGTGACCGTCCATGCATCACGTGCAGCTACCGAGCTTGTCCCTACAGCAGCACTGGTAATAGCTTCACCAACGGTGAACTGCAGTTCTATTTGTTTGGCCTGAAAAACACAAGAGCCTTACTGACAGCCCTGAACACACACCAAAACTTTTGGCATGTACTGCACAGAACCACAGTCTTTCTCCCAATCCCAGTACGCTTCTGGTGAACTGCTGAGACTATGTGGCAACCCACACCCATTGAGACTGGTAAGGAAACTTATCCAGCATCAGACTCTCCAAAAGGAACTGTAAGAGCTAGAATTTCCACACTTAAAGTGTATCTCCTACAGAGCATTTGCTAGTGTCTGCAGAAGTTCAACTTAGCAGAACACAGCACAGAAAGAATTAGAGAGATAGGATGAAAATAAAACAAAATTAGAACAAGATTGCCAGGCATCAACAAAACTACTGCTATAGTGTGCAGTAATAAAAGATTCTCCTGAAGTTCCATCCAGAAGTTGATCATTAATAAAAGATATAAAAACTTGTTATTCACATTAAAATAATTTAGACAATACTTTGTTTTACTCCTCTATCCTCTTCCTCTACTCTCTAAGCTCTCAGAAACAGAATGTGCTGAACTCTGCCACTTTTTTTGTCATTATTTATGAATCTTGAGTCATAAGAACAGATTTCTGTACCTGCTTGGCGCCTACTAGACTGTTCTTTTTACTGTCTGGGAGCACAAAATGCGCAGGCATTTTGAGAAGTAAGATTTTAGCCTCCTTCAATCTAAGATACATTGTTTGGGTTTGGCTTGGTTTTTGTTTGCTGTTTTGCTGGATTTTTTTCCCAAATACATATTTTATAAAGGAAGATGTAAAGTCCCTAAGCAGTTACAGGAGATAAACATAGCACTTAGAAACATCATTTTATGTTGTGTAAACAATGTTCTTACTATTCTTGCTTGTTTGAGCACATAGAATTGGCGTATTCAGCAAAGCCAGCCTGTCTGATACTCAACAGCTGCTTCGACAATGCTGAACCCTATGTTAGTATGAACAAGGAAGAAAGGTCAAAAAGCCTGTAAATTAAGAACCCTGAAAAGCTCCTTGACTGTTTAATTTTGCTGCTTGGTATATTTTAAAATGTATAGGAGCTCTGAAGTACCATGAAACCAGTACACTATACTGATGTATTTAGACTGACAACAGATACATGTTTTCCTATAAACAAAGCTCGTAACGCAAGCAAGTTGTATCAGTTGATGCAGTTCAGATAAAAAAGAAAGTATCATATTATCTACTTTTAGGGTACTTTTGAAGGCTACAGTACAAACCTATGGCTTCATTAGTATAATTTCTTAAGATTTTACACATACAGTTAGTTAGTTCTCCTAAAGTGGAAGACATATTCACCCCAGAGACCTCGACTGGCAAGTTTTTAAACCGTGACATAAAACATTTTACCAGCCCCAAACCTACCTTCACTCTCTGTTTTAAGGCAGTTCTAAAGAACCCAGGGGTACTATTACAAAAAGATAGCTTCCCTTGTAAAATCTGTCTCTAGAATATATGAAAAGCATTTAAATAGAAATACTCACTGCAGTATAAAGAAAAATACATTGACAGTGCCTCACCTCCACAGAATCCATTAAACCTTGCAACAGTAGCTTCTGGTGGGGAAAATCTTCATCTCCCACTGGGAAGTAACCTAATGTCTGTATTGCTCGTTCCTTCATCTTTAAACATAAACAAAAACCAAACTCAATCACAAAACCTTCCTGTAAGTCCGGAAGATATACTTTCAACCCACTTTCTCAACCTTGCTGAAGTTTCACTTAAGGTACCAGAAGTCAGTCGTGCAAAACACTTATTACATCAATCAGTGCACTTTTTTTACAGACCAGGTATCAAAACAAACATCCTGTTAACCTTTCAGGATTATTTCCAGGTAAAAGATTTTATTTTTTTTAATTAAAATTATGACCATTTCTAGTTTTCATCCAGTAAGCTCCTGATTATGACTACAGAAAGCACATCTAACCAACAGTGACACAAAACTGGAAAACCCTTAGCCTAATTCTGACTCAATAAAACCAGCGATAAGCCTAATTCTTTTTTCAAAAGAGAGGCTGAGTTTGACAGGTAATACATAAACCTGGGGACAGAGCATTCCAGAAATGAAAAGGAATCATAACAACACTACATAATCTTGCCTTATTTGTTTCCTTGCTGGAAGGGATTCGAGCCAATAAGCTTTCCACAAGTTGAAGCTTTGTGAATCCTGGTCCTTCACTGGGGATTGGCAAGGGGCCATTCCTTCCAATCTCCCCAAGAGCGGTACAAGCAGCCACCACAAGAAAGGGAGAGCTGCTGTCCAGAAAAGAACCTACAGGAAAAAGCAAAACAGGATGGCTTGAATTTTATTATTTAGCAGTGGTCAGACAGGCACTTATATTTTACCCATGCAAGAAGCAAAGTATTTATCTCCTCTACGCTGGTAGGAAGCATTATCCTGGAACAAAATCCAAGTAAAAAGAGACTGAGGAGTCTAGGCAGTGGCACCACCCCTAATTCTACTATGTTAAGTCTATGAGCTAAGAGTCTACCTAATTCTTGTTGAAAATGGTTACATTCATACACCTGATATGATGTCATTTTTATACACTGTAAATTTTATCACAGAAAGTAAACCCAAGATTACAGAATCAACGGACTGAATATCTTAGAAAAGTCCTCAGCCTGGGGTGGTCCAAAAGAAACCTGTTACATGCAACAAAGTCTTAGGCAGGAAGTTACCTATTGTCTCCGTTGTTGACTTTATGAGCTGTTCTTGATCCAGCATGACGGCAGTGTTTGGCTGTTCTGTATTATGTAGCTCCCTTGTTCTGCATTTCCCTTTGGCCAAGTACCTTCCAATTGTAAATCCCAAAGCCAACAAGGATCCATGTTGGACCTCCGGGCTCTAGAGACAACACCAGTAAGTGCAGAAAATCTCATTTTCAAAGTAAGTAACACTTTGCACGAAACTCTGACTTAAAAACACATATGGACAAGCCAGATGAGGAGGCACCCTGAAGAGTGAACTGAACTCTTCAGTCCTAACATGGAGTTCTAACACATAGTGCAATGACAGTGAGCTTGATATTTCTAGTGCTCTCTGATGAATGGAGTCTTCTAAGATAAATTAATGAAACTTAAAAGAGGCTTAGGAGGACAGATTAAGAATTTATCACCAGCAATGCCATTCCTAAAGCCCACCCTTTGGTAGCCAGACAAAAATAAGTAGTAAAAATTCAACTCATCTGATTTATAATTTCACCTTCATAAGTCTACTAAGATAACACAACACTGTCTCTACTTAAAAATTGGACAGACTCAGATTAAGGGGATTAAATGTATTCTTTCGTAAACAGTAGTAAAGGGGAATTACTCCAGATTTATACTGCTAACTTGAGAATATGCTTGACCTACAAATACTGAAGGTAATGCCTTTATACAGTTCAATTGTCTGCAGGCTGTGAAACCTAATTATTACAATTAATGTCAGAAATAGTAATTTCTCCAATGCTGACTTGGTGCTGAGAGTATCTAATGATGGTGCTCATTCCAACAAGTGACTTCTCATGAAAGGATTCTGTGCAGAAATAAGGCTGAGTTAAATGCTACCTTAATTAAAAAAAAAAAAGAAACAAAAAGAAGGAAGCAGGGGCTTAAACTCAGTCTAGTTTATGTATCTGTTTTTTATCACAACCCTGAAAAACTGGATCAGTGCAACTGTGCTGCCAGACAGGATCCTCAATCTAGGTTGTCCACAGCGACTGCTCCCTGTTGCAGTCTTGGAGCAGCAAAGCCTGCTGAAGATGTTTTTTTTTTCCCCCCTCTCCCCTTCAGCTACCTATTTACACTGCAGTCTTTACTGAGCCACTAGAGAGCACCACCACCCCCCGGTCTGTACTGATTCAACCAGTTTGGTGCATTTGCAGCAAAACAGAGCTCTCATTGACTCAAACTCAGAAATGCAGGGGAACACCCCGCTCTTTTTTTGTTTCATGGTTCACATCCCTCCTTATTCTCAGCTATGTTCTGTGAAAGGTCAACCATGGCTTCACAGGCACAAAGCAGCAGCAGGGGGAATGGGATCCATCTGTGCTAGCTTCGTGACCACGGAAGCTGCACCCTGTGTGAAGCTGAGCAATGAGACCACTTTGGCAGATACAAAATAAATCCTGTTTGTTAACTACAACATACAGTGATCAGCACTACTTGTCAGCATTTGAGTCTGTTACCTGTGATGTAAAAGAGCGGCCCATTAAGTCATTAGGAGAGACTGATATAAAAACATTTTGGGGAAATCTAACCTAAAATACTAATATTTTCCCTCCCTTTCAGGATTCAAGACACGCCAGCACAGAAACTTTTTCAATGTGATTTCAGGACTCCTCCAAGCTCATAGTAGCAAAATGCAGAGATAAGGTTAACGGGAGTCGGAAGGAGCTGCTGGAGGACAGTAGGCAGGCAAACCTATCTAGTAATACACTGGTGGAGGGTTGCTGAGTAGTCCATGTGGAGTGGGAGGGAAGAAGTCAGCCCCCAGCAGGGAAAGGTTGCTGGTAGGACAAGACCATGAGCTGATGATGAGTCAGGGAGCAGCTATGGCTCAGGAGGGGAGGGGATATTAACCATACTTTTTTAGTCCTTTGGTACCTGTAGTTGCTCACAAAAACTGGTAGATAGTTTGACTCATTACTATTCAATGGGATGAGGAGTATTTAAGATGGCTAAAACTGGTTAAATATGTGACAGTGCTGGCTTTGCTTAGGAACTGCCTCCAGGAAATCCTTCTGACCTTAACAACAGCTTCAGAGATTAGTTTATTTAAAGATCTGTTGCACTCACCTACAACAAAAAGCCCTTCTCACAGTCCGACTGGATGTCAGCTAGTTAATTTTACACTCAGATTAAGGCTAATACATCCCAGACATACTGTGAGATTTCCCATCAGTTACATGAGACAAGAAAAAATAAGAAGCAGACAAAGAAGGGTAGTTACATGGTTGTCTTTCGTCATCTTAATCAGCTGCTCCAAGGAGGCCCTAAGCTCATCTCCAGACATGGTAGACAGCACCACAGAATAGAACAGGGCTGCAAGCTCGCGCATTTCTTCTTTGTTTGTGTTCATCAAACTCTGCAGGAGTTTTTAAAAAGAAATACAAAATACTGAAGCAGCTTCTCATATGGTCTGTTCATACAGAGCTTTGATACACAAGCATAACTGTCATCCAGCTACATAAACAGTACTTACCTCAGAAACCACTCTTTAAACCAGCAGCATTATCACTTAGTAAGAAACAAAGCACTCAATTCAGCAAAGCATTCATTGAATGCTCAGTGTTCAGGAGGAAGATTACCACTAGCCACAAGAGGGCTACCCACCAGCTCTGCACTAAACACACTACTGAAATGTTTGGATGAATTCGTATTCAGAAAAACTTTCACGTTTTGAATTCACATTGAGCTAAAAAGCCTCCCAAAGACACTATTTTTCACGAGCTACTGGAAGGTTTCAATTTCCTTTTTATTAATCAAGGGATTAAAACAACAACAACAAAAAAAAAAACCAAACCACAAACCTCAAGAAGTTAAATCAATTAAATCCAATGGTGCCAAAAAAAAAAAGTTGTCCAGGAAAGCACAGCTCTAAGTGCAAACTCTTCCACTTTGTATTAGATATCTTCTATTATCCGAATTGTTAAGAAGTTGAACTTGGGAAGCATCAGGTGATTTGTTAAGATACAATCTTACCTCTGCACGTATAATGCAACAAGCTCATGCGAAAAATTTGTGCCACGACAAAGGCAGCAAAAATGATCCAAGCAAACAAGAAATGAGATCTATCAGGCTCATGAAATGTAACTCTAAGTTCAACTCAAAACATGTATCAGATAACAGAGCTGACTTCTAGCAACCTCCTGGACCTGCTCCTTCCACTTGGCAAAGTGAAATATCATAAAGGATACTTCATAACAGTACTTCTGGAATGAAGTACTATCAGTTACCACGCCTAGAAGCTGTATTTTGCAAAGGGACACCAGGCCAAAGAAAAATCAGGTTTTTCTCCAAAAAAATAAACAATACTGAAATGGAGAATGTTTAAATCCTCTAAGGTTCATACTTGCACTTAAATGAGATGTGGTAAACTGTGTACAGTGCAATGCAGCACAGATACCAGCAGGAGAAATTATTATAACACGTTCTAATTTTTCTTTAATGCAACCAAGCATTATTTTCTGCCGGATCCCCAATGAAATTGAAGGTTACCTGTAAGAGCTTAGCAAATCCTGGATGCTTGAAGCAAACCATGAAAAAACAAGAAGCTGCCTGAGAAGAGAATCTAGAGAACGCAGAATTATCTTTGGCTTATTCTCAAACAGGTTCCAGTTCATCTTTTGTTTGTTTGTTTGAGGCTAATAAAAAACATAAAAACACCTCTACAGAAAGGGCTCTAAAACAATAAAGGATCTAACTGATCTCATTTTCTGAAAAGCCACTCACATCTTCCCACGGAAGAATTCTGTTTTCAGTTTTCTTGTGCTGTTTAATGGATCTTCTGATCAAGGGGAAAAACTGACTGACTATACCAACAGGATCCATGACAGATTACCCTGAAGATATAGGTCAGTTAACAAATCTGGTAAAACGAAAGAACCAAAATGTAGCTTCCCCATCCTGCTACATGCAACATTTCACGAAGTGTTGACTTTAAGTAGACGTACCAGATTTTAAAATAAGTGCATACTTTGAAATACTCTATTCCACCATGGGAAAATGCCAGGTTTTGCTAATGCCAAACCCACTCTACCCCCAGAAATAAACCAAGATATGTACATTTTCAACATACCTTTATCCAATCCATTTTGTCTACAAATCTGGTGGCTAGTTTTTCTGGATACACTGAAACAACTTCTAGAAGACAATACATGACCGGCAAACCTGAAGAGTAATTAAAGAATCATGTTATTAAACAACTGCAGTATTTACAACAATCTAACAGTGCTAAAAAGAGGTTAAGAAGTATCAGGCATTTGAAAGCATTCACTCACAATTCATTAGAGATAACAAACAATATGGAATAACAGGGTGTATTTTTTCTCAGAAATATTAGGGAAACAAATAGAAGCAAACATTCTGGTATCAATTTGTTCTAAAGGCATCAAGTGCTTTAAGACTACACTTGTTGCAGATACACTATTATCAGAGTAAGGCAGACAGCATTCACTGGTTATAGCTGTTACAGACAGCAGCCTCACAGTTTTAAAGTATTGTCTTTTTTTAAAGCATTTAAAGCTGCAATTCTGTGGTCCTGCTTTCTCTTACCTATGCAGCAGCACAGAAGAGAACAAGTTTACACTGAAGAATATATAGTCAGTGTTGCAGCTCTGTCATTCCTGCAGCCAAGCTCAAAGCACTGAACATGGCGACTCACTTCTAGCAAGAGAAGATTTTTCTTCAAGCTAATACTGCACAAAGATTCTTACCTCCAACATTAGTTAACAGCTGCTGAAGAAGGCCAATATACATAAGCACAGGGTTGGTTTCTGCACTTTTTGAAGAGGAAGATAAAGATATGTGGTTGCCAGACATGAGGTTTCTTATGTAACGTCCAATGGCTGGAGCTTGGTCTTGCATATCTGCCAAGCTCTGCGAGGTTGGCACCACACCTGCACTGTGAGCAAGACACATCCGCAGATACAGAACTATCTAAGTACAGAACAGAAAAACACAGGATACTGAGTGCAAGAGCACTGGGAAACAACATGAAGAAGACAAAACAGAAGAGCAGGGAATATGCTACATTTAATGTAACCAAAACGAGAGAGTTTCTTCTTTAATCAAATCTAGACAGAAAAGTCAGCATGGAGACAGGAACAAATATAAAGTGTAACAAATCTTAGCCAGAGTTTCTGCAATATGCCTGTGCAAGCAGACAACCCTACAGTGCCTGCATCACTCTCAGACGATTAAATCATACACAGATTTTTGGCTTATCATCATCAGCTGATGCAACCCCTTTGCAGGCGGTTCAGCCTGTCCCCTACACAATTTGGCATTCACACGCAACACAAAGCATGGGTAACACAGACCATGCATCACAGCTGAGACTGTGTGTACAGATCACTGAAGCCAGGGAATCTGCTATGAAAAGAACAGCCCCAAGGAGCATAATGGGACTTTTAAACCTGCCTGTTTCTCCCTCTGACAAGCTATTACATTAGGTATGCCACAGAACGCAGTGGAGTAGCACTCTCGGGAACTTTCCTCCCAACCCTCCATGAAAATCCTGTTCAGACAGATAAGGGATGGAGAGTTAATCCCAATATCTGTTCAAAGAGGAAGTTTAGAACGTAGGGTGACTTGTGGTAACTGTTAGCTTCTTACACTGCCCTCTAAATAAATTATGGTATACATATATAAGGAAGTAAATCCAGACACTTACCTCACCAAACGTGGCAGGATTGAAAGGCAATGCTGCAGTCCCAGTCGTATATTTAGCTGGAGTTTTCATTTGGTGAGAGGCCTAAACAACAGCACACATTAAGAGCAGGATATTCAGACCCACGAACAGCAGAAATGTCAGAAAGGTCAATGAAATTTTGCTGACATAACTATGTTTATCCCTCCACTTAGCAACTGAAAAAGTGTAACAGTTCTGTAACAATGAAGGGCACAGACCACTTGGTAATAGTTCAGGTCCATCAACTTCACATCCCTATCAACTCAAAGTGGAAACTGAATTTGTGAGAACAGCAGGGGAGGATGGAGGAGGACAACATTAGAATCATAGAATAGTTAAGGTTGGAAAGGACCTTAAGATCATCTAGTTCTAATCCCCCTGCCATTGGCAGGGACACCTCATACTAAACCATCTCACCCAAGGCTTTGTCCAACACGGCCTTGAACACCAACCGGGGATGGAACATTCACAACTTTCCTGGGCAACCCATTCCAGTGCCTCACCACCCTCATAGTAAGAACTTCCTCCTTATAACCAATCTCTAAACTTCCCCTGTTAAAGTTTTAACCCATTACCCCTTGTCTTATCACTACAGTCCCTAATGAACAGTCCCTCCCCAGCATCCTTGCAGGCCCCCTTCAGATACCGGAAGGCTGCTATGAGGTCTCCATGCAGCCTTCTCTTCTCCAGGCTGAACAGCCCCAACTTTCTCAGCCTGTCTTCATACAGGAGGTTCTCCAGCCCCCCGATTACCCTCGTGGCCCTCCTCTGGACTTGTTTTAACAGTTGCATGCGTTTTTTATGTTGAGGACACCAGAACTGCACACAACATTCCAAGTGAGGTCTCATGAGAGCAGAGTAGAGGAGCAGGATCACCTCCTTCGACCTGCTGGTCACGATCCTTTTGATGCAGCCCAGGATATGGTTGGCTTTCTGGGCTGCAAGCACAACATTCTTTCTTCCCCTCAGGAGGAAAAATGAAGTGCTTTAGAATTTAAAAACAAAATACCTCATGAACTTCCAAACTCTGAGGTGCCCCAGCTGATAGGCAGCCAGGAAGCCTGCAGACAGCAGCTTTGTCCGCAAAGGCTGTGGAGCAGCCAGGCTTCCCTAGTATGGGAAGTGGGAATCCTGTGTCACAACAGCCAAGCCCAGGGAGTCAGCCAGAGCCTGCCACCTGCAAGGTAGAAGGCTGCTGCAGCAAGCGACCAACTCCTTTCCATGGAAACGTTAGGTCTGACAAGCAGGCATATTCCAGCAGGAAACCATACAAACAGAAGGTTTACAGGAACTCCCACTGTGAATGCTGCAGAAAAGAATGTCTGTTCTCTGGGCAACACACACATCAGTTCTAGGGCTGGCTTCAGCAAGGCAGCCTTGCATCTGAATAAACACACAAGGCAGCTGTACAGAACTCAACAGAATCTCATCTTTCTGAACACACACAGATCTTTTGCTTCACAGTAACTTCAATGACATCCAGAACCATCAGTGAAAACCTGAATTAGGGAACCAGAAGATGACTCCCTTGAAGAATGGATTCCCATCCACACCCAGCATATCAGGTCCTACTCTTTCATATATACCACCTTGCAGAGAGAGAGAAGGATGATGCTAACTTGTGCAGAAAGTCATTTTGTACTCAGCCTGCTGTGCCAAGCAACATATACAAACTTCTCAAACATCTCCATCACTCACAGATTATTCATGATATGTGAAAATTCACACTTTGAGAAAACTAACCAAAGAAATGTACCTTGAGGAGTGTGGGAATCTTGTTTTTCCCATTAGGGATTAAACTAGGCTGATCCAGAGTTATTTAGTGACATTACATAAGTCAAGAAAAATTTAAAAATTAACCACAAGGAGAAGTCATTTAATAGTGTTATCTAAACTCAATCTTGGTTTCTTTTTCTTTTTCTTTTTTTTTTTTTTTCATATATTTGAATAACCAGTACTTTGGACAAACACAAGGTTTTTCATAAAGCTTCAAACACCTCATACACCAGCAGGGTATACCAGATAAGTACACTACATTCTGTAAGCAATCTCTCAGGTTAAGAGTTAAGTGGTACAGGTTTTGGCAAATCATTCCCCTAGAGCTCTGAAAGGCTGTTTAAATGGCTGTTATTTCCACAAATTGAAATTAACATAAATAATTTTAAGTATTTAAAGTAAACAAACCACACTTCTTCATTCGTTCCAGTATCTCCTTTCCTAGTCTGGAAGCTTTTTCTGTTTTAAGCGCAATATTATTTTCCACTAGCCCAACCAGACAATGATCTTCCTATCCTTTCACAACCATGTTTGCGAGCAACCATGCTGGATTATCACCCTTGAACACTGGATTCCCTCTTCCACACATCTTCTGCACAAACAGCATCAAAGCAAAGTAAGCCCTTTGTTAAAGGATCTGTCTCCTTATTACTTAACACTTGGATCTCTTGCAGTTATTGCCAGCAGAAGGTAACAATGATTGCTAATCTTGGCAAAGCAGTAACATGTGTGGTCTTCAATGTGATTTTACCTAACTTTACTCCTCAGGGCGATGAGGGAGATGGACACAGGGAAGACCACACTTATTACACACCGGAGCATCAGACATGTATGTGTCATTTACAGGGACAGAAGCACCATACCTTATCTTGAATGTAATGGACCATTTCAGGGAACGAAGGCATCTGCTTCCCAGAACTCTCCTTTTCATTTTTACCAGGAAATGTTCTCAGCACTTGCTGAGCTTCTCCATGTACCTCCTCCCGCCTTTCAGAAGAAACAACAGTGAACAGATGTTATTAGCACAGAATAAATGGCCTTTCATGAGCAGTAAGATATCCTGGGAAGCTGAAGGATACAGAACAGTTTTTAAATGAGATTTTTTTTTTTTTTTTTAAGGAAGGGGAAAAAAACCTTGCCTTAAAATATTTAACAATTTGTTAAATAGGGGGGAGGGGGAAAAGAAGGGGAAGACAAAGGTTAGCTTTTACAAAACAGTCTGGATCAGCCCACTTCTGTTCTTCTTATAACCTGCTAGTGTTTTACCACCAGTTCCTGACTACCACATACTTGTTTTCCTACACCCGCTCCTCCTCCCCATCACTTCCTATATTCAAGCTTCAGCTGATACATACTAGGTTTATGGTTATCCACTTAGCAGATCAACTCCTGAAACAGTGCCAATGTTGCAATGACAGAGGAATTTGTTACAATTGATACACTTAGCCTTTCTTAGTTACAAGGAACTCACAAAAAACCTCGAACAATTAAAGCAAGTTGGAAAAAGCCGCACCACTTAAACTGCAGTAATAGAAAACTGCAAATGAAATGACTGCTGTAATTTAATGAGTCAATTACTCCTCAGCAGAACGGAAACTTTCACAAGTGCATGCTCCTCACACTTCACAAATACAGGCTAAAAGCAGACTGATAGAATTTGCCAGAAAAAATAACTTCTAGCTACTGTAAAGGTGATTTCAGTTAATTCGGTTTTATCTCACAGTTGCAACTCATCATGAACACAAAATGCTTTACCGACAGCAGTCTCTGATCAGTCAGCAGACTCAGAACCTGAGCCAAAGGTGACTATAAGGCACAATAACAAATCTCCCAGAACTGTCCAAGAATGCTCCTATGTAAAGGTTAATTTCCAAATTATCATACTTTATTTTCAGTGAGTTTTTATATAAGTACCTACATAACCACACACACACATGCACATATATATATTCTATTATACATAACAGAGTCATAGAACAGTTTGGGTTGGAAGAGACATTAACAATCATCTAGTTCCCACCCTCCTGCCATGGGCACAGACACCTTCCACTAGACCAGGTTTCTCAAAGCCCCTCCAACCTGGCCTTGAACATTGCCAGGGCCACCCCCTCCCTGGGCAACCTGTGCCAGGGCCTCACCATCCTCACAGAAAAGAACTTCTTCCTTATGTCTGATCTAAATCTACCCTTTGTCAGTTTAAAGCCATTATTACTTGCCCTGTCACTACATGCACTTTGTAAAGAGTCCCTCTCCAGTTTTCCTGCAGGCACTCTTTAAGGACTGGAAGACTGCTCTAAGGTCTCCCTGAAGCCTTCTCTTTTCTGAGCTAAACAAGACCAACTCTCTCAGACTGTCTTCATAGAAGAGGTGCTCCAGCCCCCTGATCATCTTCATGGTCTCCTCTGGGCTCACTCTAACAGCTCCATGCTCTTGCTGTGATGGGGGTCCCAGAGCTGAACACAGTACTGCAGGTGGGGTCTCACAAGAGTGGAGTAGAAGGGAAGAATTACCTCCCTCAACCTGCTGGGCACACCTCTTCTGATGCAGACCAGAATACAACTGACTTTCCTCAAGCTCATGTTGAGGACAAGCAACACCCTCAAGTTCTTCTCCTCAGGGCTGCTCTCAATCTATTCTCTGCCCAGCCTGTATTTGTGTTGCTTGCGACTGCCCCTGCCCAGGTGCAGGACCTTGCACTTGGCCTTGTTGAACTTTGTGAGGTTTGCACAGGCCCACCTCCCAGGGATTCATATATGCATTCATATTGCATCCAAACATATACCGGACACAAACATAGATATGTGTGTGTATATATGTGAAAATAACTTCAAAGGAAAACAACTTACGGGTCTCCTGCAGCTAACAGGAGTAAGTATCTGGATGGGATATGATTCAGAGGGAACACTGTGCTAGCAAATTTCACAGCCACTTGACGTACTTGAACTTCAGGCTTAAAGAGAAGAGACACAGACATATGGTTAAGTTTTAAATGAACACACTAATGGTCAATTACCACTTGTAGATCATCAGTCATGTTTGTTCTCTTGTACCAACATCACTCAGAGTTTGAACGTTTTTAAACACTGTTCTTGCTAACTCTTAATATGGCAGGAGACAGAATAGAAAAGCAAGCTTCTCATACATACACAAATGAAGAATGAAATGTTCTCTTAAATGCACGCACATTTTGTGAAACCATAAATAAGGGTTATTGCTATTTCTGAGACATCTGTAATGCTCCACCCAGGCAGTTTTGACATCATCTACCTACACAAAACAGAGCTGCATTTAGAAGCAGTACAGCTTCATAAGAGGTGGAAAAGAAGCATTAGCTTAGGGTCACTGCTCTCTCTACTGGGTTCATATAGTCTCAAAAGGGTATTGCCTGGACAGCGAGATCACTCGAGCACTCAGGCACAACAGATCATGAAAACAGATTCTTAACACAGTTACTAGTGCCACCACTAGAAATACATACACCTCCACAGTCTCCCTGAGTACCCATGCAAACACAAGAGAATACAAAAAATACTCTTCCTGAAAACCCAAACCTCTGGGAATTCTGAACACAAACACGATACTCAGTGAAGTAAGAGAGTAGTGAAGTGTAGTTTCCTCTGGATTAGCATCTCATGGCTGAGTTCCTAAGGAGGTTCTTTTATAATGGTAGAAATAATAGCACACTGAAATCCCAACTGAACAGTGAATGATCCTTTCTACCTAACTGCACTGCCACCCTTCTTGCAGCCACTGTACAGTATTAAAAATACTTCATCTGAGCATGCACACACTTCCCCTTCTCCCAGACAGGCCAATACATTCAGTAAGAAAAAGAGCTGTTCCAAAAGTACAGGAAAAATGACAGGAAAAAGGAAAACAATTCATAGCTTTTTTTTTTTTTTTTAAGGTACCTAATTTTGACTCAAAATACCTTTATTAAATAAGAAGCTACAAGAACTTCCATCAGGGTACGCTGGGCTCCTTCCAAGTTAGTGTACGCTCCAACCATCATAGACAAAGCCTCCTGAATGGCAAGCCTAGTATCAGCATCTTCCTGCAGTACAAAAGTAAGAGTTTTCACTTTACAATATATAGTGACAAGAATTAAGCAAAACCAGCACAAAATCCTAGCAATTCCCCAAAGCCCTGTGAGCACCCACCTTACATAAAGCTTCAAAAAACTGTTGTACCAGTGCAATGTCCTTAGTGAAGAGCTGAGGCATTCGGCTGAAACAAGATATTTTCATTCATGAAGGTTTTTTGTTTTTTTTTAAATCAAAATGCTTCACATCTCATTGGTGTTACCCCTCATCCCACATTTTATTTGTCAGACAAATCTGCCAGTTTGTTTCTAAACTAAACTCAGTTTGGAAAGTGAGGTATTCTATGAACAATTACTTAGATTACCAACATAACACTGAAAAAACCATTTGTCTAGTTTCATGCCCTCTGGTCTTTGCTGTACATTCCTTAAAATTATGGCAATCCAGAAAAAGTGGATTAATTCTGTGCATAATTCATGAGCTGCCATTAATCACCGCTAGACAAGCTATCAGCTAAAAACGCATTTCTTTCTACAACTTTGGAGATGTCACAAGAAGAATGCTTTTCTTTGCACTGTACACTCTAGCAAAACTGGCAGATGGCATGAAACTTGCTGCTGATAAATTAACAGCCTGCTCTGGAAAAATGAATCAATGTCCCACTCCTTAAATGGAGCTTCAGTTACCTTGAGAGCTTTCCAACCGCTGAATATGCCATTGAGAGCAGTTTTGAATCCTTGAATGATAAAACAATAAATAAAATTCAGCAAAACCAGGAATACATAAACACACATCTCTTATAATTAAACATTTATTTTAAATCCTGTCTTCAATACGCTCAAACAGGCTTTCATGGGCAAAGAATCCTGGAACATCAGATTAACTGTATCCAAGAACAAAAGCATTAGACAGCAACAGGGGGAGCGTGCTTTTCCACAAGAAACAGAAAATTGCAAACGGAGCCAAAGTTTAAATCTTCCTTCTCATCTCAGCTAATCATATTTTGTTTCAAGAGAGGCAGTAATCAGACTCAGCAACTATATGAAACTGTAGCAATGAGACAGACACCTTCCACCCGCCCTAAACAGCAGGTTTACACAAAGGAAGCTGTTTGCACAATGAATCCTGCAGATGACCAATGCAGCACACCTACATATGGGCATCCTTCTTCCTGAACACTCCTTTTTATGCCCTTCCCAATGGCAAGGGAGGCCCACATGTTCAAACACCAACTCAGTCCAGAAGGTCATATCCAAGGATCAAAGCTGCAGAAGAGGTGATCTGCAACACCAGCCCTTCATAAGGTACATGAAGGAGCATCGTGGCGAATGTGCTTTCCGAAATGACACTCTTTAGACCAGACTGGCATTTTTAGTTCTGTTTGTGCTGTGTTTCCCATAGCAATACTATCCCTGTACAGACAGAACGGAAGGTAGTACAAGCAGGCCTATACAGCTGCTTATCACAAGGGGGTATACACACTGAGGCCCCTGTGTTCTCTAGAGTAATGAGTAACAGCAGCTAGATGCTACTGTATTATTTCCTGAGACTTTGCAAATAGGGTCTGAGAACCTAACCGTATCTGTTAAACAAAAGAGTTTCCCTCTACAGCCTTTTTGCTTCTCTTCCAACAGAATTCCGTAAACACTAACCTTTGATGTCATCTAAGGCAACTACAAGAAAGAGAGCTATCAGTTTCCATTATAAAATTTGTCTTTTGTTTGTATTATTCATATGAAGAATTACAGCTCTGGAGTACAGAGCCTTTCGACTTACCTCTTTGTATTCATTGATCAGCTTTGTAAGACCGTTTAAAAGCATCGGGCCTAATGGCTTTATTTTACTTTCTGGACAACTGCAATTAGAGATACCAACAAATAAAATATTATCTTTTGCATCCCTCAGAAGTATCTTCTCACAGTATCTCAATTCTGTTAAGGTGAGAAATTACAGCTTAATGCACGCAACCACACAGAGAAATATTTTAGGAATGAAGAAAAAACCCTACTTTCTATGCCCTTAGTCCAGTTACATATTTAGTGAACAGAGAGACTTCTGGGAAAATAGATAAAAGACATCATACTTTCTTAATTACTTACATGATACAAATATGATGCACAAACTGCAAGGACAGACTTCTCAGTTTTGCATTTGTGTTTGCACCAAAGAGTCCATCATAAACCACCTGGCCAAAGGAATAAAGAGCAGATCACAGAGTGCCTGGCTTCACTTTTAAAGGTTTATCTAATTCCCCTTCGTCTTTGAACACTGTTGTAAGTTACAGTGCTTCTCTCTTAAGTGCTGGATGAACTATACTGTTAAGCTCATTAGGCAGAACAGCTTTGGAATGTAAGCATTACCTGAATATTAGCTGGGAACGTTTCTGCAGCTTGCCTGGATCGCAGAAGATGAGGAACTATCTTTAATTTAACACGGGTGCTGACTGACTCTCGTTTCATTTCTTGCTTCAGAACAGATACCTGTCAGAAAGAGTTAAAATAATATAGTGCATTTTTGTACAGCAGTACTTTCTAAGTCAACTGAATTATATTTCACAAATCAGAACACACTAGGACACAGGAAAAAAATTATTCAACAGCAAAAATGTTCAGTGAAAGCAGAGATCAAAGGAAGGGATAGACTTAAGAGATACATATGTCTTCTCCAACTAAAGTAAGGCAACTAGAATCACACCTTCTGAAATGAAGCAGCTATGCAATTCTGAAGGCAAATCTTACCTCCTTGGTTTTCAGTGGTATATCCCCAAGATACACTTTATACATTTTGTTGATGATAGTAGGATTGTTCCAGTCAATTACACTAAAGAAAAAAAACATTGAACACCAACATGTTACAATTCCATCCTCCACTTTTTACAGTATACATTTTACAGCATTTAGCATCATATTCGTATTCTTCAGAGCTTTAATACACCTAGTTTGACATAATCACTCCTTCCACACCCATATAATACACAATCATAAAGAATGTGAAGTTATTACAAATTTCACCTGCAAATTCTGACAACAGAATTCTAAATAATTTGTGAGAAACCTACATGCTTCCTTCTCTTCCACTGAAACAAGTCATATAAATCATGGCGGTCTACTGATTGAATACAGAATGGTCACCTGTTAATAAACCTCTCCGTGTTCTAGAAACTAACACAGAATGGTTTCGGTTGAAAGGGACCTTAAAGATCATCCAGTTCCAACCCCTGCCATGGGGCAGGAACACCTTCCACTAGACCAGGTTTCTCAAAGTCCCATCCAAGCTGGTCTTGAGCACTTCCAGGGATGGGGCAGCCACAGCTTCTCTGGCAGCCTGTTCCAGTGCCTCACCAACCTCAGTGCTCTGACATTTAAATAGGGAAGAGGGTATTTTTAATTCTAGGACTATGTGATCCATCTAGGATCAGATGGCCTGGCACATCAGTCCCACAGAAGTATACGGCTCTAGTAGAAACTAATGCAGTGTACCCTGATGCCATCGAGCTGTCAGGGGGTGGAACCCATTTATATTTCTGGAGTGACAGGATGCCAAGAGTTGACTGTACTGGAGACTGAAATAACCTGACTGGGAAGAAGTGGCAAAAGCACCCCATTGTGACTGGTCTAGAGGCTCCATACATCCTTGGCATAGACAACCTGAGGAGAGGGTACTTCAAAAACGCGAAAGGATACCGATTCGCTTTTGGTATTGCTGCTTTGGAGACAGAGGAAACTGAGCAGATGTCCACCTTGCCTGGTGTCGTGGTTTAACCAATGCCAGACAACTTGTCCACCCACTCCCCCCTCCCCTTTCTTGCCCTCCCCTATTCTCGGAGGGACGGAGAGGAGAATCAGAAAGAATGCAACTCCCACGGGTTGAGATAAGAACAGTTTAGTAACTAAGGTATAACACAAATCACTACTGCTACCACCAATAATAGTAATGATAAAGGAAATAACAAGGGAAGAGAATACAATACCCCATCACCAGGCGACCGATAACTCGCCCCCCCAGCCCGACCAAGCACCGACCGATACCTCCTCCAACCCTGCAGTCCACCTAGCCCTTCCGGGTAACTCCCAGTTACATCCTGGGCATGACGTGCTGTGGTATGGAATACCTCTTTGGTCAGTTTGGGTCAGGTGTCCTGTCTCTGCTTCCTCCCGGCTTCCCCTCCTCCCTGGCAGAGCATGAGGCTCACAAAGTCCTTGGCCAAACCAAAACATCATTTTTATCAGCTCTGTTCCCAGCTGAAAGTCAAAACACAGCACTGCACCAGCTACCAAGAAAGAGAAAAAATGACTGCCACTGCTAAACCCAGGACATTATCCACCCCTTATTCCATACCATTCACGTCATGCTCAGATCCCACATTTTCAATATACCCTCACTCTTATCTAAGTGCACTCTCATCGTAGTGCATGGACCAGTCCCTATAAAGCTGCTGAGTCCATCTGGTCCATGATGCCAGGCTCCATCTCTTGTAACAGTCTTTCAGAGCAGGAGAGGCTGTGTGCAGTGTTCACACACATGAATAACCTGGGCAGTAGTGTCCATTGCTAAGTCCACCCCTCGATCATGAGTCCATCTCGATGTTGCATCTCTGCTCTGTTGGCCTTAAGGGTCATGGGCCCACCAGGCTCAAAATAATTCACTGTCCTTCCATCTCCAATGCTTCCAAAGCACTGGAGGGGCCCAGTGGACTAGATACTTGCCCATACTGTCCCACATGCCCTGCCACTCATGACTCTCCAGCCTTGGGGGAAACCTCTTGGTCCTCCTATATTGTTGTCTAACCCCAGACAAGACCCAAACCTGACTCTGCTTAAATTTCGGGGTCAGACAAAATGGCGCTGGGTAAAACACACTCTGTGTGTGTGCCAACATGCTGATCCCCATCACAATCAGCAGGCAGGTCCCAAGGGTACCCAAAGGCCATCCAAAACCTTCAGAACTCTCAAACGATGCTGCTGTACTTGTCACTGGGGCTGGTGTAGCTGCTGTGCTTGCCGGCTCTCCCACCACCAGCTTCTCTTTCCCTGAGCCCAGCTCTTCCTCCTCTGCCTTGCTGGGAAATGCTGCGAGGTCTCCTGCGTCCTCCTGGGGCTCGGCGGGCGGCTTCAGGGGAATGCTCTCGGCCGTCGCGGGGCTGGGCTCGGCCGCGGGGCTCGGCTCCTCTGCCGGGCTCGGCTCCTCCGCTGCCTTCTCCCGCTGCTCGGCAGCCGGCTCCTTCTGCTCCTCGACCGCCCCAACCTCCTCCACCGGCAGCCGCTCCCTTGCAGCCTCAGGTCCCACTTCCGCTTGGTCCCCGGGGCCGCTCTCCCGGGCCGCTTCAGCAGCCGACGGCTCCCGGGGCCACTCCCCCTCGGCTTCCCAGAGCCTCACGCAGACGGAGGCGAGGGTGAGGGCCAGGACGGTGAGGAGCAGCCGGACGGCCAGGGACCAGTCCATGGCCACGTCCGTCCCGCCCTGCTGCTGGAGCTCGCCCGTATTACAAGCCATTGACATAAAGTACAGTGAGACAGGAACCTTAGCCCAAGCCCCACACTTGATAAACACTAACACAGCAAATACCGGCTCTAAGTAAGTTACAACATTCTGAAGCTGTGAGATCAAGAGGAACAACTCTGAGAGCCAATAAATCAGCATTGTGACGAGTGACTATTAATCCAGTCAGATCTGTCGTTATCTCAACCCCTTCGTGCCCCACGTTGGGCGCCAAAAAGAACTGTCGTGGTTTAACCAATGCCAGACAGCTTGTCCACTCACTCCCCCTCCCCTTTCTTGCCCTCCCCTATTCTCAGAGGTACGGAGAGGAGAATCAGAAAGAATGCAACTCCCACGGGTTAAGAACAGTTTAGTAACTAAGGTATAACACAAATCACTACTGCTACCACCAATAATAGTAATGATAAAGGAAATAACAAGGGAAGAGAATACAACACCTCATCACCAGGCGACCAATCACTCGCCCCCCAGCCCGACCAAGCACCGACCGATACCTCCTCCAACCCTGCAGTCCACCTAGCCCCTTCCGGGGTAACTCCCAGTTACATCCTGGGCATGACGTGCTGTGGTATGGAATACCTCTTTGGTCAGTTTGGGTCAGGTGTCCTGTCTCTGCTTCCTCCCAGCTTCCCTCCTCCCTGGCAGAGCATGAGGCTCACAAAGTCCTTGGCCAAACCAAAACATCATTTTTATCAGCTCTGTTCCCAGCTGAAAGTCAAAACAGCACTGCACCAGCTACCAAGAAAGAGAAAAAATGACTGCCACTGCTAAACCCAGGACACCTGGTCTCTCAGAGGATCCTTCTGTTGTGGGGCTGATGAAGTTCGAAGAACAGCAAGTGCCAATCTCGACCAGAACTGCACCGACAGCAATATCACACCAACCGGGACTCCCTGATTCCCATCCACAAGCTGATCCGTAGACTGGAGAGTCAAGCAGTGATCAAGCAAGACCCACTCACCCTTTAATAGCCCTATATGGCCAGTGCAAAAGTCTAACGGAGAGTGGAGACTAATGGTAGACTATCATGGCCTGAATGAAGTCACACCACCATTGAGTGCTGCCGTACCGGACATGCTATAGCTTCAGTATGAGCTGCAGTCAAAGGCAGCCAAGTGGTATGCCACGATTGATATTGCCAATGCATTTGTCTCAATTCCTTTGGCAGCAGAGTGCAGGCCACAGTTTGCTTTTACTTGGAGGGGGTGTTCAGTACATTTGAAACTGACTGCCCCACACAGCCCTACCATCTGCCATGGACTGATCCAGACTGCACTGGAACAGGGGCAAGCTCCAGAACACCTGCAATACATTGATGACATTATTGTGTGGGGCGATACAGCAGAAGTCTTTGAGAAAAGAAGAAAAATAATCCGAATCCTGCTAAAAGCCAATTTTGACAAAACGGAGTAAGGTCAAGGGACCTGCATAGGAGATTCAATTTTGGGGAATAAAATTGTAAGAAGGACGTTGCCAGATCCCCACAGATGTGATCAACAAGATAACAGCAATGTCTCCACCAACTAATAAGAAAGAAACACAAGCTTTCTTGGGTGCAGTGGGGTTCTGGAGAATGCACATCCCGAATTACAGTTCGATTGTAAGCCCTCTCTAGCATGTGGCACAGAAGAAGAATGATTTTAAATGGAGCCCTGAGCAACAACAAGTCTTTGAGCAAATTAAATGGGAGATAGTTCATGCAGTGGCCCTTGGACCAGTTCAGACCAGGCCAGATGTAAAAAATGTACTGTACACCACAGCTGGGGAGAATGGTCCTACCTGGAGCCTCCGGCAGAAAGCTCCAGGGGAGACTCGAGGTCGACCCCTTGGCTTTTGGAGTGGATAAAGCTGCTAAGATTGAAGTGGCTCAGATGGACTTAGATCTATCCCCTACCATGCACCAGCCCCTGGGAAAATCGAACAGTACAATGGGCTGTTAAAAACGACACTGAGAGCAATGGGTACTAGGATTTTCAAACATCAGGATACACATTTACCCGAAGTCACCTGGTTGGTCAACACCAGAGGATCTGCCAACAGGGCTGGCTCAGCCCAGGCAGAACTTTTACATACTGCAGAAGGGGATAAAGTTCCTGTGGTGCCCATAAGGAATTTGCTGGGGAAGACAGTCTGGGTTAATTCCTGCTTCACATAAATGCAAACCCACTCATGGGATTGCTTTTGCTCAGCGACCCACATATACTTGGTGGGTAATGGGGGAAGATGCAGAAGTCCAATGTGTACCTCAAGGGGACTTGATTTTAGGGGAAAACAGCCAATGAACTCAAATGTATGCTGCTGCCTGCTGTGCAGCACTTTTATAGCCCACCAACTAGATGCCTTCAGGTCACCAGCGACTGGCCCTGACTTCCCTGACCATCATCCCAATAGAGAATGAACTTCGGCAAAACCAGACAAGCTCAGCAGTGACCAGATGACTTTCACGGTGTCATCAGCAGGCAACAATCCAACACTGCACACTCTCTCTCCTTGCTCTGAAAGACTGTTACAAGAGATGGAGCCCGACATCATGGACCAGATGGACTCAGCAGTTTTATAGGGATTGGTCCATGCCCTAAGGAATGATCTCTCTCTCTTTGTGTGTGTGTATATGCATATATTCATATGAGACAAGAGTGACGGTATATTGAAAAATGTGGGATGTGAGCACAACGTGAATGGTATGGAATAAGGGGTGGATACTCCCCTGGGTTCAGCAGTAGCAAACATTTTTCTCCTTCTTAGTAGCTGGCGCAGTGCTATGTTTTTGACTTTCAACCTGGGAACAACACTGATAACACCTATGTTTTCAGTTGCTGTTAAGTCATGTTTACTCTAACCAAAGACTTTGCGAGTCTGATGCTCCACCAGGGAGGAGGGGAAGCCAGGAGGAAGCAGAGACAGGACACCTGACTCAAACTAGCCAAAGAGGTATTCCATACCACAGCACATCATGTCCACTATATAAAATAGGGGCAGTTACCCAGAAGGGCTAGATCACTGCTCAGGTTGGGCTGGGTATCAGTTGGCAGGTGGTGAACGGTTATATTCTCTTCCCTTATCATTACTATCATTGGTGGTAGCAGCAGTGGTTTTATGTTATACTTCAGTTACTGGACTATTACATTCTTTCAATTCTCTTCCCCATCCCTCCAGAAGCGCAGGGAGGAAGAAGGAGGGGCATGGGGGAGTGAGGGAGCAGCTGTGTGGTTCTGAGCTACCGGCTGGGCTTGAACACAACACAATTTCATCTTTGTCTCTCAGACACACCTGTCTGCCCACAAGTAATCATCTAATGCTAGTTACTAATGAGATTGTTTAGAACACACACACTCCCACCCAAAAAACATCCCACAGAAAACAAAAGCATATATGCTTTAACAGAACTGGAGTATACAGAACCACCTCTTCCCAAGCAATTAATTTCCAAGCAAGTGAGCTATGAAGTAGTATTTCTCATAAAAGACATTTATATGAAAAGGTATTTAACATACATTTTCTCCACACATGTATTTTGTTCTCTAGGCAAAGAGTACCAACACAACAGGAAAAATGAGACAAGCACGAAGGAGAGACTGCCTTCCTTAACCAGGCTGTCATTTTTGTCCCAGAAGTAGGATTATTAACTGGTGTGCAGGACACTAATATACACACAAAGGTGAGATATTTTATTGCCAGCTATTTTGCAAAACAGGGTGCTAGGTGGGAGCTCCACACAGGCAGCACACATTTTTGTGTATCAGACTATGTACCTTTCATAGAACAAAGAAATTACATCTTGTTTTTCTAAGTGATGCTGTTCCTCAAGCTTGACAATGTTATCACCATGGCAAATTCCATTCTCTCTGTACATCATCATCACCTACTAGAATCATTTCCCCTGGCACAACTGAGGCACGTGAACAGATTCAAATGGAGAAGATTTCACATTACTTACTTGACTCAAATAGTCCTATATTTCCAGTAACACAGAAGCCACCTACACTTGTCAAAGGCAGGCCTCTGTGACTCCAAATCTCCTACATGAGCCAGCAAACCTTGCATGATCAGTGATTCAGCAAATAGTACCATCAGCTATTACTGTGGGCTCTTGAAGGGTTAAAGAGAGAAGCATTATCTTTAGATGATGAAAGAGGGACTGAAGGTGAGCAAAAACGTTAATAATGTAGAAAATGGTGGCTGCCAAGCTTCCTAGGCTATGGTCCACTCCACAATTACAGTCTCTTTAGTTCCTTAATAAATTAAATGAAAGCATTTTTTTTCCATCAGAGGCAATATAGGTAAGTTGACCAGCTGTGATTCACTTACTAAGGTGTTATTGACCACTAACAGTCCACAGAGGGCAATTTGGAAACCAAGGAGTAAGAAAATGGCTCAAAAGCAATTCTAAAGATGACTGAAAACAGACAGCTAAAGGTGTCAGCTCCAGAGCTAAGTAACATTCCCAGCTGCAAGACTGAGCCACACCGTTCCCAGCTCTGTATGACTGCATGGCAGCTTCACAGATGTGCAGGGGACTGCAGCCTTCCTCCTTTCAGAGCATGTCTCTGGAGCACTATATTAACTGCAGCTAGCTTCGTTAGGAACACTAGCATCACTTTTTTCCAAAGATCCAAACTGTACCTTTGTTTGCTCTTTAGTTCCAGGTCTGCAGCCGTGGCAACACTGTGTCTTGTATCACTGGAGGCTACAACCAGGTGTATAACAGCTTCAAGTTCGGGCACTTGCTCAGCTTCAATGAACTTCACTATACCCAGCTTACACTGTTCAACAGTGAGGAAAGTAAAGGCAGTGTTATTGACAAAAAAGTATATGTCACAATAACCACAGCAGTTCAGCTGTCTGAAATGATGGCTTCTGCTTGCTAGAGCTAAGTCCACAATCTCTCCATCTCTTTAGCAGCACCTTCTTGCCTCCTCTTAAAGCAGTAAACTGTGTCAAAGTACCAGCATCACATACCAATTATTGCATATCAGCATCATGTACCAAGTAGGGATACTTTACTGCTTCTCTGCTAAAAATGGACACTTCATCAACAGAAGAGTTCTGCAACTTCATGATGTTTAGGAGGAAAATGCAAGAGTAGGCTGCTGCTGTGGTTGCTTCCTAACCAGCCCTGACAGCTGCTGGAACCTCCCATCCCGTCTCACCACTGCAAAGTTCCATAAGGCATCATGTAAACTCCCTCAACAAACTCCCTCAGGGGGAACTCAGGGTAATTGAAAACCTGGTCAGAATTAGTTATGCATTTTCCCTCTGGCCCTCCACTCATCTCTCTGTAGCCACCCCTGCTACCAACCCAAGTTTACCAAGGACCAGCCTTGCATCTACAAGTACCTGTTCTAGTAGCTCTGGTGTCCATGGGCTATCTCCAATTACCCTTTTGGCTGCATAAAAGCTCATCCCTGGAGGTGGCTGAGGAATTCCAGGACCTCCCACACTACTTGATGAAGAGCCCTGGCCCGAGGGCATATTTTGTCGACTCTGAGATTCATTCAATACAAACCTGAGCAGGTGGGAAAGTAAATTAATTAGAGGCTTTACTAATCCACATTGCCATCTGAATTAGATTCTGGAATGGAGTAATACATATAACCTGTCCAACTTCAGTTGTTCTTCTTTAATTAATGCCATGACTGACGTAAGACAGAGTTTTACTCTGTTGAGACTCAGACACCAGTTATCCCAGCATATTCTCAAAAGCTGAAACAATCTCATTATAGCTGTTTGAAAACAAACCTCAGTTAGGAAAGGGAAGGTTCCACTGGCATTTCTGAAAAGAGTTATCTCAGGTTAAAAAACAGACAGAATGATCTCTTTTGTATTAGAAAGGAATACTCCCAACAGTACTACATTTGAGAAACTTGTGCTGAAAGCTTTAATAACATTTGTACTATTTCTTTGGAAAATGCAAACATTAACACGGGAAATAATGAAGCATATGCAACATTAAGTGGCAGGAAACAGCCCTTGATATAAAATATAAATAAAAAATATCTTGGAAAGTAGGAGGTTTAGTGCTGGGCAGGGAAGGAAAGCAGAAACCATAAAGGTTTACAGATCTTAAGTCTTCTTGGCAGCTGGCTATGGATGCTGGCTAGTCTAGCTGCTCTGTGATATCTCCATACCCCCACAAAAGCCACTCCACTTCTCTATATCCTTGAAAGCTGGTCAACATGTGAAGGACATCAGAATTGTAATGCAGAGACCAACAATAATTATGTTGCTCCAAACACCATAATCCGTTTTGCATTCAGCACACAGGTAACAAAAAAAAGTAAACAGACACAATAGGATAAACACTCATCCCAAGTCTCATTAGTTAAAACTTTAAACACTTGGACTTGATTACGAGCTTTAAGCCCTACAGTTAGGCTTTCTGGTGGTTTTTACTGTGTGCAGACTGGCAAGGCTAATTTGCAACTGGGCAATGACAGAGTAAGTTCTACTGAGCATAATTTGATAGTAAATAGCTGCAAACTGTCTCACCCCATGGAACAAAACTGAGCCAGACACCCAGAACTACAGGATAGATGAAGACACCCTTCAGCCCCTACCCTTGTGATCTCTAAGTATTTAAAAGTTGTCACACTCCTCCAGAATACAAAACTATGGAATGAAGTCTTACTGCAAAGCCCAAGGACTTCATCTTCTGAAGCTGCTACCACCACAGCAGCGCGCTGGTGAGGCCAAAAAGCATAAACCTGGGCAACCTGAAGAGTGTGAGCTATGAACAGAGGAGAAGACTAGGTGTTTTAAACTATAAGCTGCAAGACTGTACACACTCAAATCGTAAGGAAGTGGCCCCCAAAACACAGGATGGAAGTATGGCCTCCAGCAAAGCTACATGGAGAAACATCACTTGCTCACTATTTTAAAAGTCATTCCTTTAGAGCAGTCTACTTGAGCAAGAGTTAAGTGCTCAGAAAAATCCTATAGGAATCTATGAACTGTCGGGGCGGGGAAAAAAAAAAAAAGAAAAAAAAAAAAGAAGTGTTTCATTTTTAAAATTATTTCTATTTTCTTTCAAAGCAAAAACTCCCTTAGCAATACAAAGACACTAAAGAAGCTAGTGGAAAATGGATTTTCAGAAAGTATTGATTTTAGACACTAGAGAAGATTCCTAATGAGCAGTGGTCAGTAAATTTAAGCTGCTCTGTAAATCCTTCTTGCCTTCAGGAACAGTGCTCACACTGAGACATGCCATTACAGTCACAATGTTTTTCCATTGGAAGAGAGATAAAAGACAATTCTTGTTATCAAAGGTTCGATTCTGGAAAGCACAAACTTTCAGAGATTACGCTTGCGTATGATCTTGCAGGAATAAGCCTTAAAACTGCAGGAAGATCAGCACACATTTTGATCTGACTTCTATTTTAAAGGTTTAGTTATTTAACAGATAGCTCACATGTCTCATAGCTTCACTTTGATCCCCAAAAGAGGTCAAGGTCAGAATAGTGTAACACCCAATTAACCAGAAAGACATTTTGTTAAGTAAGAAAGATGGTGATCCCATTCTTAAAACTAGGACCCTGCCTTGAGTCTTACTGAAACATGTAATGTAACAATGTGCCTTACTGTAATACGTAACCGGTTTCATCCAAACTAGGAAATTACAGCATACTTTCATAAATGAGTTTCCAAGTGTGCAGTTTGTAATGTTTCACACAAAGAACACATCGGTACTAAAGACTGGTATTAAGTCTTACTTACCCATAAGGCATAAGAAGAACATCCAACATAAAGTCCAAAAGCAGCTGTACAGTCTTTGGTTTTTCAGCAAGATTAAAAGGAGAAGCTGCTGCTTTCAGTGGTTCAGCAGGGTATTTCATGTGAAAAAGGGTTGGTATTAGAAGATGCATTAGGCTGAAAAAACAATTGTATTTACTGCAACCATTTAAAAAAAAAAAAATCACACCTGTTTATTCTTAACATTCAAGAGAGAAACCTTTAATGACAAAGTTGGTCCTTAATAAAAAGAAAAATCTTAACACAAGTTAAACCAATTCACAATCCAGTGGCCTCTATTTGCCACCTGAGGTACTTAAAAATGGAAGGCAGAAGATAACAGAAGATAAATTAGGATTTGCACTTAAAACGGAACACGTGTGTGTGTATGTATATATATATATATATATACACATATGTATGCATGCACACACACACATTTGGAGAGACAAAGCCAACTGCCTGTGTGCAGACTTCTAATGCTTCAGAGCTGTGCCACAAAATACAGGCTAGGACTGTCTCATCTCTAAGAAATTTAAAGTTTTAAATCTGAGTCTACCTAGAGCAGAAATTAATATTGTTCAGCTTCACCAAGGAGTGCACTCTAATATATTGATTATATAGCCAGATTTCTCAAAGCTCTCTTCACTCATGTAATTGCTTTTCAAACAGGTCAAAACCATGGTCCCAGAGAAAACAGTTATTTTCAGACTGATCTCATGAACAGAACCAAGATTTTACTGCAAGAACTTTCAGCAAGGTCATTTTAAAAACACCTTCAAACTATCACAGTGACACAGGGTGAATGAAGATCTGATTTGGATACCATTTTCCACTGCCAGCATGGTGGAAATCCATCTCAAAATAAATAAGGAGCAGGTCCATGATTAACAGTTTTCTAGAAGGTCTTAGTACACAGCAGTTCCAACGTCAGTCTTTTTTATTTACTACAACTGGGTAGGAACTTTTGTTCTCACAATTTAGAGTCTCCAATCTGAGACTTTTTACTGGTGTTGCGATTGCTGGACAGAGGATATACACTGACGGTCTAGCCTTAAGCCAGAAGCCAGAATTTGATGAAGATGGATAGGGGATATGGACAGGCACATCCATCATAACACAGGCCTTCTTATCATACAAGGAGTCTGCTGCTGCAGAGCCTGTATATTATTTTAATGTTAGATTACATGAATTCTTTGTATCACCCAAACTACTGGATGGCTGATTCAAATTGTCCAAGCCAAGAACATCCTAGGCAATAAAGAAATCACCAAGGAAAGGAAAAAAAAAAAACCCACCACCAAAACAAAAAAAAAAAAAACCTTTTAACAAGCAATACAAATTATTTTACTAAACAAGAATCAACAGCATGTGCCCCAAGAGTAAGTAGTTATACCTGTCTTGCTGTGGTTGAGGTTTCCCTTCCATTGCAGTGAGAAGTGTTGGAGCCAATTCACATTGTTTTTCCACAGGCAGACGGGGGTATCCCATCTTAACGTAAATTATGGTAAAATTCTAAAAGAGTAGAAAAAGCATACATTACTGCAACACTGCAAAAGGAATATCTGTTCTTCAAACTCTTTGTGTTACATAATTAGGTGTTGGAAATAATATGTTTTGCAAGACCAATTTCTAAATTCTAAGGCTAACTGTACTGACAGGTGTTAAAGGGGAGCTTCCCCTTTCAAAGGAGGAAAAACAACAATGCAAAAAGCCCTCTCTAGCTTCTTACCTGCTGCCAATTTCACTAACAGCAGTTTTACTCAAGGAGCAGCTTCAAAGAAAGCAAATATAATGTTCTTTTTTACCTATTTCTGAAATAAAATAAAGAGCAATATTGAATAAATACAAAGTCAGCAGCACAGGAAAGATTTCTTTTGAAAACATGTTTCTAAATCATCATAATTAAAAGCTGCAAGTGCAATCCAAACAGAGCCCAGTGACAGGACAGCACAGCAGAGCAATACCGAATACTGGACTATCCAACTGCTATCATGTTGATACACATCCATTCAAGAACTGCAGAGATGAGAACTGTGCATTTGATGACCTTGTTGGAAGAAGCATTGAAGTGAGAAGTCTTATATTTCTTTGTAAATGGTACTTGTTAAAATTTTATGAAGCCTCATGGCACAACACAACATGCACCACTCAGAGACATGAATGAAAACAGGTTTTTGACATGTCCAGCCAAAAGTACAGCTCACGTCAAGCTTGCCTTCAAAGAAGACAGTTTTACTGCTCTACCTTACACACTCTAGAAGCTCTCAGCCATTTCTAAACGATGAAGTCCAGATAATCCCACTTACTTAAAAGTTAATCTGATTACTTGCATACTACTGCTGTTGAGAGTCTAATCCTTCCATCAGTTTCTAAAATGCTATGTTTTCCATTTATGCTGTATATGATTGAACGGTCAAATAAGGACAGTTTCCCTCTGATTTTTTCACCTTTTTTTTTTATTCCCATGATGATGATTTGGAATAGATCCATCATAGTTGAAGTGAAAACTGTCTTCATAGTTTCTTAAAAACATTTCTGAACCATTTTCACCTTTTAACCTACATTGAATGAAACCTTCTAGTAAAGTTTCCCCATCTATAAAATAAGGATTTTGTCATCTTTTCTTGCTCAACTAAGGTCTTAGGCCTAAAACCGCATAAAAATACAGGTTCTCATGTGATCAGAGAAATACAGATGGTTTAAGACTTTGAGACTGAACAATGTTTTAAGACCCTGATCCTGCACATATCATGGTGAGGTTTGGTAGCTGCTTACAAAACTGAACAGTGAACAGACCCTCTACAATACAAGCAATGTGTCATGGTTTAAGCCATGCAGCTAAATACCATGCAACCGCTTCACTCCTAACATCCCCAGCAGGGCAGCATGTGTTGAGAGAATTGTTTAACAATTTACATAAAAGTAAAATGTAGTACAACAACGGGAAATAGCGAGAGGGAGGAAGAAATAAACCACATGCCCTGGGGAAAAAAAAAAAAATCCCAAAGAAGTGACACAAGTTCGCACTTCCTGATAGATGCCCAACTTGTCCCTGAGCAGTGGCTGGTCCCTCCTGGCCAACTCCCCCCTGTTTATATACTGGGCATGACGTGCTGTGGTATGGAACACCGCTTTAGCTAGTTTGGGTCAGGTGTCCTGTCTCTGCTCTCTCCTGCCTTCTTGTGCCCTTCCTCACTGAAGAGCATGAGAGTCACAAAAGTCCTTGACTTAAGGTAAGTGCTACTGAGCAACAACTAAAACATCTGCATCTTAACACAGCACTGTACCAGCTACTAGGAAGAAAGTTAACTCTATCCCAGTTGAAACCAGGACAAATGACAATTCATGCATTCATGAATTGTCAAGGGTAATTATCAGTAATTTGAACAGAATCAATAGTGTAGGTGCTTCATGAAAGTTTCACCCACAGCAGACTATAAAGTTTAGTTAAAAAAAAAAAAAAAATCTCTTAAAACATCGTCCTCATGACAGTAACATACTTACTAGGAAAACTGACAGATTTAAATGCATGAGTTTTAAAGAATATTCTGCTTGTTACAAGTAAATCAGCAACTGCTCTTGGAAGAGACACTTACGGTGACAAAAGACACTGCAGAAGGATCCTGATACTGAACTAGCAATGTCTCTACTGGAAGCTGAATTTTTGGACGACTTTTGATGCGCTTATTCAGATGAACCAGCAGCTCCATGACCTGACAGGAAGAAAACAAAAAAGCATGAAAGAACCACCATCAGTTTTACAACTTTGGACTCCACACTTCACACTCAGTCCACTGTGCAGGCTGAGATTCCCAACTGTTTAATCTCCAAGAAAATGGCATCCATCACTTACTGTATTATTTTGAAACCACTCTGACATGAGAGTCACTGTTAAGACAAACACATAAGAAGTCTCAAATCATGCCACAACCAATATCCTCCATCAACAGAAATGCCAGGAAGAAATTATTACTGAGGATGACCAGGTATTTCTACATAGCTGGTTACTCCCCCTCAAAACTCAAAACCAGGTTGGACAGGGCTTCAAGCAACCTGGTCCAGCAGAAGGTGTCCCAGCCCAAGGCAGAGGCAGTGGAACTAGACGATCTTTAAGGTCCTTTCCAACCCACACCATTCTGTGATTCTACAAAACTGAGCCTTATTTAGAAATCTGCATTGCTGTGGCTGTAACTTCAATTCATGATACCAAACAAAAAAAACAATGAAAAAGCCACACCCATACAAAAGTTATCAAGTGTGCATATGAAAACTATGTGTGCAGTGGAACAATACAGAACTGAAATCCTTCAGGGAACAGGAGACGTCAACAGACACCCCATGAATGTCAGGCAGGAGCAATGTGCAGCCCTGCCCTGGGAAGGCAGAGTCCCAGCAGAAACGCTGATGGAGCCAGGCAGCAGCACTGGGGGAATGGCCCTGGCATCTGGTGGACAGTGAGCTGCGCGAAGCTGCACTGAAACAAGAGAGGTGCAGAGTGGTATATCCCATGATGAGGACTCTGAAGTACTGGAGCAGGAGCCCAGTGAGTTTGTGCAGTCTCTATCTGTGAAGTCTTTTAAAGACCTACCTCAATAAAGCCTTCAACGTCCTGGTCTTAACTTGTAATGGACCATTTTAAGCAGGAGGTTGGTCTGGAGACAATCTGAGGTCACTATCAAGCTCAAGTATCCTATGATTAACTACTCCATTAAGTAGCTTCTTTCCATGGTTTCAGCAAAGTGTCATTTGTAAATCCACTGAGTATCAAAACTGAATGGAGGAACTCAAAAAACTACAGACAATCTCCACACTGGAACAACAGATCTTGAGAAATCACGCTCAACATCTGCATCTCGCTCACAAACCCTATCAGGTTCTCAAGCAAGGTGGTGCAATAAAGTGACATAAAATGGGGTCAGCTCTGCTCCAGTAAAACCAGAGCCACTCCTAAATGCGTGATGACTTTGAGCAATTAAAGTAAAAAAAGTGGGCATGCTGCCCTGTGCTCATTGCCTTGGTCATATACTGGTGAAAAAACAGCTAAATCAGTGTTACTGTAGTTTGTCAGAGAAACTGAAGAACAATATGCTTGCTGATCTGCATATGAGCCAAGACACCATCTTTGCATCCACTACATAGGTAGGCATCAAACAAAATAACATCCAGATATAATTTAGAGAAACTGCATAGCTGACCACAAGCATGTGACTGACATCAGAGATAATCTGACAAACTAAACTACCGCTGACAGGTATCAAGTTTTACTGCTGCAAAAATACTATACCAGCAGTCACAAATTCCTCCTATTTCTGAAAGGAAAAAAAACCTGTCTGCACACGCTTTTTTGTGAAGGAGTAGAAACATATGAGTACAACAGAATTTAAGGAACCCAGTCAAGTTCCTGGTCAAGGAACATGGTGGCTGGTGAAAAAAAAAAAAAAGCCATGGCTAGGTCAGATCACGTGTGAAGGTTTAGCTCATGTCCTGCTTCTCTAATCATTAATATCAAATCAGTGCAAGAAGGATCTTATCCAGCAGTACTCATCTGACCTGAATCAGGAAAATGTCTGCACTTCTGAGGACAACTGCTTCTCAGGTTTTTGCTGGCTTCACATGGGCTGCACAAAGCAAGACTATATTCAGTCTGGCACAAATGGTACTAGCACATGAGTACCTCTTGGAGAACATCTGAACCAGCAGAGTAAGACTACCCTGGATTAGTTCTCTGTGTCATTGCTAGGGTAACTGGTTTGGCACAAGGCATCCTAGAATTTAATTTAACTCATCTGTCAAACCATGGCCTGAAGGATTACCTTCTCAGGGGAAGTGGATTAAGAGAATGAGTTCAAATTACTGAATGTAGCACTAATATTGACATGACTGTCACAAAATTAAGGGCAGGGATATGACCAACACAGCAATATGTTAAGGTAGCGGGAATTAAAACAAACTTTTAATTTCCCCTTTCCATAGCCAGCACCATTTTGAGGAGAAAGTCAATCTGTGGAATTAAATTAGTGTGCAGTCAACCCATCTGTTGTACTGAATAAACTACACTGTGCTTCTGAAGCTGGGTGAAAGCAAATCCTTTAACAATTGTATTAATCTACACTTCAGCAGTATACTGGCACCACAGAGATGTACTTTTTTGCTCATATACCTATACTGTTGAAAGCTTCACTGTCAATCCAATTAAAATGGTGCAAGTTTTCAAACCACAATTGACCTTGTTGGCATTTTTTTGTTGCTGCTACTGGGTTCTGGTTTTTTTAGCACTACAGTAATTGCAGAAAAGACACATGACAATGGATGGCAGAGTTTTGTCAATGTCTATAGTCAGTCAATGGGTGGATAAAGAGTTTGTCCTCTTTCCATTCTATTTCCTCTACTTTATTAACCTCTATTAGATTAGCTTTCCAATCACTTGAGAGTTCATGTAAAGAAACATCCTTTTCTTTTACTTACATTGCGTTAGCACGATTTTGAGGCTGGCACTGAACAACAGACACATTCTCTGCTGTCCACCAGGCAAAATTAGCATTAGAAAGCTAGGTGTTCATGTTTAAAAGTCATGAGCGCTTGAAAATGCATCAGACTTCTTAAGACATTCCCCAGTCACATTAATGGCAATGTAAGAGCAAGAAGATTGAAAAGCTGAGGTCTGATGTTAAGTAACAGAAAACAGCAATGTGCACATTGAACAGATTTACCTGCAGGTTACACACATCACAGTAAATCTTCAGTGATGTAAAGTCACGGGTGTGCAGATGAGCTTTTACCCCATAACCAGGAACTGAATTCCCCAGGTACATATTAAATCTAACTCCCAAAATGGCTTGGTCCTTGATCCTATGCCTGTAACCAGGCAAGGATCAGTTTTGAATGTAGAATTTAAGATATATCTGAATGAATTCTGTGATAAAGCTGCCTTCTGTACCAGGGAACTGAATTCCTTCAAGTATGTATGAAATTCCATCTTCAAAATTATCTGGTGCTTGCTCCTATTCCTACTGTCAGACAAGTGAATGACATCAAGGAGTATGTCTTCAAGGTCCTTTATACACAGAACCAAGCTTGTTCCACATGTGCCGTAAGTCAGATAAATGCACAACAGTCCTAATATGGAAGCAAGAGCAACTGTCTTTATGATACTAAGTCTTAGTCTCAGGCTAACTCACAGCTAGCTGGCTTCAACTGGAAACAAATGCAGCCTTCATACAGCTGCAAGACCCCATGCATCTGTAAATGACCTTGCTGATACAAGCAACTACTGTTTTCTTTAAGCCCTTAACAGTTGTAGGTATAGTAGTACAATAAACCATGATACGTCAGGGCCATTTCCTTCTCCCTGAACAGGACAACATGCCATTTGGATAAACTGCACCCTTACCTTTTTACGAACTCCTTCTTGTGTGCTGGACAGCTTGAGGAGTACAGGGGGTAGGAATTTGGAAATAATGTTCTGTAGCTGCTCATCTGTTTCTGCATGGCCAAGACGCAAGAACACACGTTCAAGTTGATCTGCAGTTAAAAAAAATATATAGGAAAAAAGAGAAACTGGTTGAAACTCAAAATTGCTGTAGCAAGAAAACTACATTTTCTGAACATCCCCTAATGAGCTTTTAAGAAATGCTGTACAGAACTCCTCAGTTCTTAAAGTACTTTCATCTCAACAGCACTCAGCACAGACGCGTCTTGAATTTTTAACACTACATGAGCAAACAACTGACAGCCGAAACCACCCTGGTAGCTTCCAGTACCAAACTCCACAATTACGTGGAGATGACTTCTGTCAAAGACAGAAATAGTCAAGATTTCCTTTGCTTCATTCTCTTTTTCAAATCAAGGTTATGACATCTCCAAAGGTGCAACAGAAGGTTAGGATCTCCAAGTCATTCCCTGCCCTTTCTGCTTTGACCACATAAGTGTGCAGCTGTGGGGCTATTAACTCTTGAAAAGATGCCTGCTGTCATCTGCATTCAGATCATGATGTTCCATACGTCCACTATTTAATCAGAAGGCAAATTCTTGTTATTATTCTTCTTCAACCTAGAGTTCTCGTCATATTGTAGACATTGTGTCAACAGAACAAAACCACAAAGCACATACAACAGAACCCAAGACCAATTACAGTTTGTATGGCAGAAAGAGTCTAGACAAAGCACAAAAAGCAAGGTTGAGGCAAACTACACCACGGCAATTGTACAAATAAACAGGCTGCACACCTGAAAGCACAAGAAACAAGCTACAAAGTGAAAACCAAGGTCTTTGAAACCTTGAGACTATTGTTCCAGAGTAAATTTGTTAATTACAGGACATTACAGGACTTTGTTACATAGGACATCTTGACACAGGCTAACCTATTCTGCTCACAACTTTCCATTAAGCCACTTACATCCTCCGGGAAACCTTTACAAAACTGGACAAATATTGACTGAACCAGTTACTGTTTTTTTTACAATTTGCTGCTCTTTTTTCCAAATGTCAGTTATTACAACAGAAATAAGATCCCAAGTATGAAACACAGGACATACTGCAGTAACTTAAAACACAAAGCTCCTATTATTGTACTACCAAGGCGCCGGGAGTGTTTTAAAGCTTTCACCTTCCTCTAGTCAGCAGGTCTTCTCCCCAGACCGAGGAGAGAACACAAAAATAATAACTAAAAGAAACAAAAAACAACCACAAAAAAAACATCTGCAAAGAAATAAAGTTGCAACTCCTACAAGATCGAGAGAACAGGGGGCAGGGGAGAAACAATAACATCTGTTTTTTCAGTGAGCTAGCAGAAGATCATTTCAAGGAAACATATGAGACCAAACTCCTCTGACAAGCACAAGCACTGAGGACCATCTGTCTTTAAAAAAGAATGGAAGAGTCCCTATTTTAAGTCCCAGCACGCAGCTGCTCCGACAGCTAAACCACAAGAAAAGCAAATCCTCCCTGGCACATCAGCATCCCCGACTGCCAGACCATCCTCATACATGGTATGAGGAGCATCTCTACTCCATTCTGCAGCACTGCAGGACAGATACATAGGCAGCAATAAGACCCTGGGCTTTTGAAAGGACTACAGGTCTTATGACATCCTACAAGAAGGAAATCATTCCCCCAAAGACTAATCTAAACTGACATGGTGCAAGCTGAGATTAGAGGAAGACTAAGGAGAACCCTCCTGCAGCACTCAGCTGGCTGTAAAAGGCTACCAAGGCAAAAACGAAAAAAGCACTGTACAGGGAAGAGGTAAAGACTCAGGTGAATGGATATGGTTGGAACCCGAGCTAACAAAAAGGATGTTCAAGTAGAAATGCCGCTTTAGTCAGCAAACTTATCATGATGTAGCTGCAGAAGCCTTTACTGTCCTATTTTTTAAATCTGTGCTATCCCTGCACTTAAAGGTCTCACAGCACCACTCTTCCTCTGCCAGGTGCAGATTAAACATACACATATCACTTCCAACATTTTATTTCTGCTGAGCAAATACAGTAGGCAGCTGAAAACACAGAGGACTATGAAATTTTACTGTCAGGGAAATTACAAGCCAAGACTCTGTAGCACCTACAACACAAACTGACTTGTAAGCCAATCTCTTGGTTCAGACAGATTTCATCTAACAATCAGGCTGTCAGCTGGTCAACAACTTCGTGACCTTTCTTTTTCTAATTCTAACAATTTATTTCTCTCTTCTACTCCTTTCCCTGCAAACAATCTCTCCCTCCAGGACCTCCACAGTGTCTTACAACCGCGCCAGCACTAGGGGACTGCTTAGGCCACACCAAGCAGCTGAAATAAACAAAGCATGAACTTATCAAATCTTTCTCCTCTGCCCTGGAACTCTAGATCACTGCAGACATACTATCCTCAAGCAAGCTGACTGAGAAACCTCCCAACAACATGTTCCTTCTCATGACAGACTCAAGTGTAAGCTAACACAAGTGAAGTTATTTCCAAACCCCTCTGCTGTAGCCACTGGACTACACACACTTTGTGGAAGGCACAGAAACCACTCTGCATGTGCCCACAGGAAGTGCAGCAATGCATCTACGCTATTTCCAGCTTCCACCATGATTCTGTTGTTACAAGCTGCAACCAGAATTGTAATAATAATACTGATAGGAAAAAAAACCCAAACACCTATGCCCTTGTTCACAGTGCCTTTGAGATGTATTTATTACTTTTCCTGTATCTCTGCTGCCTAGTCAGTTAAGCCCTAATAACTTAGGTCTTCTTCAGGTCTTCTTCCCTTAACCATAAGCATGACAGGCCTTCTCAACATACTCAAGGAGACTAGTGGCCTGGTGCAGTTAAGAAACTGGTCAGGAATTTGTCAGAGCAGTCTCCTGTGCTGCCAGTGCAGTGTGTAGTATCCATAGCAGCAACACGACAGGAAAACAAAGAGCTATAAACCCATGGAAGTATTGCACATCAACCATTTTCTCCCCAGCTTTTATTCTACTAACAATTGCGAGCATCTCTCGAGCTGGAAGCATAAACCCTGGAGATTTGACGAACCACACACAATGGTCCAGGAGAGGAGCCAGGGACATGGTGACTCAGATACTTGATGTACCCGAGTACATCAGATGTAGTGTACAGATGCAAGATACACTTGTGCAGATGTGCCTTGCAGATCTGCCGGCTGGCACAGGCAAGCTCCTTTCTCTCTCTGCCTTCTGTCTTCTCACAGCCTTCACCTGGCCTCCTTGTCCAGCCTGCAACAGCAAGCAGACCACTGCGCGCCAGACATCAACCAAGACAAAGTGTTTCCTCACAGCCCATCTCACATTTCCACACTGTGCTCTTCACAAGCTTTTAGGAATGAAGACAAAACCTTCTCCCTCTAGTTTTACAGTCCCTACTGGCAACTGCACAGTTGTAATTCCAAGGGGGAACCACTAGGTTATATGATAACAAAAATAAGTAAAGCAAGAGGTTTAACTTGCTTACTTACCTACCATAGAAAAGAAATAAAAATGACACAAACTGCTCTGAATAAGCCCCAGCAACTGAAATTAATCTACAGCAATCTTATACAACCTGACAGTAAGAGCACTGAATTTTAATTATAAAGCTTTACACACTTCAATCTTTACCTTTGCTAGCCAACACTACACTTAAAATGCATCATCGCAATGACACACTTCTTATAACTTTCCTTTTGAAAGTTGACTAATTTTTTAAGTTTCCTGGAAGCACTGAAAGAAAGAAGTAATGAAGAGGAGATGTTTAGTAATTACAGGCTTACCTCTATCTAAAAAAACAGTACTTAGGAGATCTAAGATTTTACACAAAGGCTTCTCTTTCCTCAATTTCACATCAAACCCTCACCTCCAATTTAGGTTTGCAATATTTCCTTAGTATAGGTTCCCACCTGTAGCACTCTCTGTACTAGCTAATTATTTGTTTATAAAGTTACTTCCATAGTTAATCTACTGCAGTTCAACTCTGGTGAACATAGGGCTGGGGAAAGAAAATACTGTCCGAGGCAAAGGTCCAACTTTTAATGCAGGCCAAAGAATTAAAACAAACAAACAAACAAAAACAACACAACAAAACACCAAAACACCAAAAGATTGACATTATTTTATTTACACTAGTAAGAAAGTCGAAGTGAAAGGGAGAAAGCAGGAAGGAAGAAGACTTAACCAGAAACACGACTGGAAAACCTTGTGCCAAATCCTGCAGGGCTCTACAAAAACTGCTCCAAGAACAAACTTGCACATCAGAAGCAGTGGAAAAGCCTAAGGGCACAACACCATCACAGTGAGCTTTTCAGACTCACTCTACTGTGGAAAAGCCCCTGCTCTGCCAGGGACTGTTGGAAGAATAACGCAAATGAGATTAAACCACTACTACCCTTAAGTGCATCACTGGATTCATTATTTTTTTTTATATTCTTGCAAGTTTGCCTTTACAAAGCTGGAAAAAATTTCTTGAAAGAAAGATGATTGTTATGGCACCAATAATCTGTTTATGTGCAATGTGTCAACCACAGCCCCTGTCAGACGTGCCCACTACATTAGAAAGCACCTGAGAAATCATGTCTGGTTTAAAAAGTAGTCTTAGAAACACAAAATGTGTGCTACAGCTATGACAGTCAACATTTTACTATGGGGGAAAAAAAAAACCTCACTAAAACAAAAGAAAAAAAACACAAAATAAAACCATGACAAATAAATAAAAAGAAAACCAAACCAAACCAAAAAAAAAAAAACCCAACAACACAAAAACCCAAACCAAATCAAATAAACAACAAAAAAACACAACCAAGAATGAACTGTACAAGTGACAACAGTAACACTAGGTAGCTTTAGTTTTCAAATACATACCATTAAGTCCATGCAAAATTTGTAACAGATAATCATGTATTCTGGCACAATCACAACTTCTTTCAATGCTTCATTTTTTGTGGTGCTTTCTTGGGGGAAAATAGTGTCTATAAGAGCATGAATATGGAGGATTTAACAACAGACATTGCATATGAAGAGATGTTCCCTTTCACTGTATGCAGAAAAATCAAAGTGTCAGGAAAATGAGCTGTATCATTGAATCCCTGTTTCCAGCAGTAGTGTCACTAGACATGACGTATTTAGAATTTGAAATCCCCAAGATACCATGGCAAAGCAGTTACCTATATGTGAGGCAATGCATGTTTCACTTCTGTTTCTTTCCAGTCTCCATTTAAGACTACAAGGAGGAACACAGGTTTCAGCACTCATGACCAAACCTCATGCAAAAACGAAAGGAACAGCCTTCAAAACAGATAACATATACATATTTTTTACAAGAAAGTCACATTAACAACAAGGCTCTAACTTGTGCTTTATGAACTCTGAAATCCTGCACACTGGCCATAAAAGGGTCAGACTTATTGCTAAGTCTTGTCACTTCAGAACTGATCTTGCAGTCTCCCAAGCCAAGAGCAAAACCCCAGCCGCTGACTGAAACATGCTCGTTCTTCCTGTTCTACTATGCAGGAGCTTGCAGAAACGAACAACAGAGAGAAAGGCATAGAAAGAATGGAAAGGATAAAATAAATAGCTTAATGTTTTCCTCCCATTAATAAGGACACACCCTTCCCCCCCCCCCCCCTTTTTTTAATATAAAATCATGGAAGTGAGCTCTTTGAATGCTTGGTCTTGCTGAGGTAGCTGGTTCACTGTTCATCCATCTTTTAACCAAAGAAATCTCAGCTCAACTACACACAGTTTCAATTCATGTGTCCAGGTTCTCCTCCCTGTCCTTACACACGACAGAGTTAGCTCCCACTGGCACCTATGCATATTACACACAGCACATCAGCTATTCTACACACACCCCTCAGCAATGTGTATTTGAGTTAGCTGAGTATCAAGTAAAACACACACCATTCTTCTTTTGAAAACTGACTCAAGAAACTACTAGGGCTAGAAGTTAACCTAACTGTACTTCATAATTTAACTGATCATCAGGAATGAGAAAGAGAGTCTGGGTCCTCTGCAAAACACAGCAGACAGTAGGAAAGCAAAATTCTGTTCATAAGGCCAGAATTTATGTTCACTTTGCTGAAAGTATCTAACAGATTAGTCAGGCTGCTACATTAAAGCATTTCTAGAACTGTTTCAGTAAATCAAACAAGAAATCCCTCTCCAAAACCCTCCTCTGTATAACCATTACATTGCATTGCACATCCTCCACATCTCCTCCCAAAGGCTCTAAACTGAATGAACAGTACTGGACATAGAAGCATTTCAACTTCACTGCCTGGATGGCAGGGGCAGTTCTAGGGGCAGGTTCCTGATAAAGCAAATGCTCAAGCACACTCTTCAGAACTAAGCAATTGTTTCTGCCCTATTCCACATACAGAAGAAAGCATGAAATTCTCCTCTACTGTGCCACTACTAAAATATATGTCAAATTCTTGTTCCAATGGCATTAGACTCTGTGAGAAAATACATCTAGTATGATTACAGTAGCCAACAGTGAGTCAGGATTTGCTGGTGCTATTCCTGGCTCTAGAAGTAACCCGCTGCGTGCCTACAGCCAAATCGCTCCAAGGGGCATTTGTAAAAGTAGGCCAGCCACCAGGTTATTTTATGAGATCTCACTGGAAAAGGCTAGGAAGGAACAATGTATTACCTTTCTTTATTGTATTCTTCCATTTTATATAAAAGATGATAAATTTTAACAGCATACTGAAATCCAAACACTTGCAGTATGCCAGGCTTAGACTCCCTATTTAGTGGCTGTCTATTCTTACTGAAGGTTAATCTTCCTTTCCCCTGTATCTGAACTCTTGCAAGCTCAAGGCAAGTTTACCAATTTTCTGTTATTTTTTTAACGGCCTTACCTCCATTCTTATGCTGCCCTCAACCAATTTGTCCTTAAACTGGTACAGATTCTTATACAGATTTTAAGCAAATAGTGGGAGTTTATGTGTTTGGGTGGACCCACAGATCAAAGATTCCTATAGCCATGTATATATAAAACAAGGAGAATTGGTTTTCTAATCTAAAACTAGTAGTAATTATTTTTGTTATTTTGGCACTAATCATTACCCTAAAAAAGAGCAAATTTCTTTCCAAATATGCTGAAATTTAATTATTTAAATGTACCAAAGACAGCAGGCCTCCACATAGGCTGTACAGTTTCCACCTCTTTCTCTACCTGAAATTACTCCTTTTCCATTAGCTTTACTTTTTATTTAAGATTACAGTATTTTCTATTCAGTGACAGATGAGGTACTAAGGAATGACCCAAAACTAGCAAAGAAAAAAAAAATAAAAATAAAAGATTTCTAACCAAACCAGTGGAACCCCCTCAATTCTGAAGGAAGCAGTGGACAAATAATCCAAATTATACCATATGATTATTAACGGGAATCTCAACCTAACCACATTTGTTCTCTCAGCACAACTTAACACAAAGGGCTGTGTAGCAACTGGCACATGGTTGAGAACTAAGTTTTTGCAGGATCAGATCTGGAAGATGGGGAGCTAGATTACATGCAAATAAAAGCTGAGGAGTTGCAAGCAAGAGATCTTGCACTGACCGGTTTCACCAAGGGGAATCATGTTAGCATTGTAAAACTGACAATAGAAACTCTTGGATGACAGCAGCAGTGAGGTCTTTCATGGTCATGATTACAATTTATCCCAGTTGTCATCAGACTAAACAGCCTGGCATTTTTGTCCTCCAATTCAAGGATCAGTGTAACTGCAAGATCTTTCTTACTCCACCACGAAATCCTCGGTCTTTGGCTATGTAAAGAACATCCTCATCACCATTTTATGCCTCATTCCACTCAGCCTAGTTCCATTTATATCTAACAAAGAGCAGAACAAGGATGCTACCTACACAGCAGCATACAGATAACAACGAAAAAAAAACCCAAGTGACACATCAGGCAGAAATGTTTCAGAACTGAAAGCCAATAGCACGAATATGCTCAAAGGATTTCTTCTGCCCTTCCTCTCCACCGACTGCCAAGTACTATTTCAGGGCAACCAGAGGCCCTCTTATTTGGCTGAGTCATATGTTATCTTGCTTTTAACTCTTGACAGTTGTTTAAGACCTAGTTCTATTAAAAGACAGGAAAAGAAAAAACAGTCTTTAAAATTTCTTAGACTTCTCCAAAGAAAAGTCGATCCTTTATTGCACCGGGCAGAGAACGGGATTTGGATTCAACAAGGCAGGAGCTGGGTTTCCCCTGCGCTGCACGTTCGGCGCAGATGCAGGCACCTCCGATTCTGGCTGCTGTAATCATGTGCCGATAACTGCAGAGGCCGAGGATGTGCTCAAACACCTACCGTGAGACACGGCACTGCGCCGGCAGCTTGAGCTCTCCTCAACAGCACGCCGGTGCCTCGGTACGCGGTATTTTTACACTGGCGTTGCAGCGAGAGGACGACGGTCGAACAAAGCCACGGGCAACTGCCCGCCCTCTCGGGGTGCAGCGGGGTGCGGATGCTCTCCCTGCACGGGAGCTCTGCCGGCTCCGCGGGTCCTCCCGCCGAGCAGCCCCCACCCCACTGAGCGGGCGGCGGGCCGGCCCCGCAAGGTCACGCAGCGGAGGGAAAGGGCGCAGGCCGCTGCAAGCCCCCCGTACCCGCGGGGAGACCGCGGCCCGGACAGGCCTCTCCCAACACCGCAGCCTTCGGCTTCCGCCTCCCGACATGGCTGCGCAGAGCCGGGTCCGGCCCCACCGCCGCTACAGCCGCACCGGGACGCGAGGGGGACCTCGTGCCCCGCCACAGAGGGGCCTTCGCCGAGGAGAGACCCCGGCCTGGCACGGCCCCGCACGCGCCCGCCCGGGAGCCCTCGGCACCTCGGCCACTTACTGAGCTCGTCCTGGGCAGCCGCGGCGGCAGCAGCCATGTTGCCAGCTGAGCAGGGAAAAAGGGAGTGAGGAAGGACAGCGGGAGACGCGCTGCTGAAGTCCGGCCCTGGCCGCTCCCGCCCCTCTGCTCCACCGTCGGCTCCGCTCAGCACAGGCACCGGGCCGGCTCACTCCTCCTACTCCTCTCCACAGCTCACTCCGACACAAACCGCCGCGAGGGACGGCGGGGCCCAACAGCGCCCGCCCTCCCGTCACCGTCGCTTTATATTTAGAAGGAGCCACCGTCCCGGCCGCCCGCCCCCGCCGCGCACACGCACCGGCCTGCTGACCCCTCACCCCTACCCGCCCCGCCCGCGGCTCCCGGTGCGTCCCAAGGAGAGAGGCGGCAGCGGCGCCAGCAAACTGACCCGAGTCCGCGCTGACCTCCATGACAGCCCCGGTGCTCTCCGCAGCGGCGGCGGAGGAAAAGGGAGTGGAGGCCAACGCAACTGCGCCCCCTATAGGCGTACGGTGCCACCTGCATACCGCGGCGGGCGAGACCCGCCCACCGCCTGGCAGAGCTGGTGTCCCCTCCGACAGCTCCGGAGACAGCTCTTTCCGGTAGAGGAGAGCCGGAGTGGCACCGTGACAAAGAACCGGGTTCTTCCTCAGCTTAAAAAACTAACAACAACAACAACAACAAAAGGCAAAATTGGCCGTGAGCAAGTTTTGCTTTATTTGTTAAGCTCAGAATCTGAGGAATTGAACGTCAGCTTCCAACTCCGAGGGGCTGGGCTCTAAGAAGCTGCACAGAGGTAGGATTATTTTGAGGAAGCAGATTTGGAACTCATCTGTCTCCCAAGGATATGATGAACACTTATGAATAAGTGGCAGAGGAGGCCAGATGCATAAGGTGCATACTCATGTCTAGCAGAATGGCCTGTGTTCTCTGAAGAGCTAGTTGCGTTTGTGGTGAATGTTTCCTGCATCAAGCTTGAGTGATCTTCCTTGGAGAGGTCTGTTGTCGAGGTGATGTCTTATGAGGAATGTCTGAGGGGACTGGGGTTGTTTAGTCTGTAGCAGAGAAGGCTCAGGAGGCACCTTATTGCTCTCTACAACTACCTGAAAGAGGTTGTAGTGAGGTGAAGGTTGGTCTTTTCTCCCAAGGAACAAATGATAGGACAAGAGGTAATGGCCTCAAGCAGCACCAGGGGAGGTTTATGTTGGATATTAGGAAAGAAATCTTCACAGAGAGGGTGCTCAGGCATTAGAACAGGCTGCCCAGGGAAGCGATGAAATCACCATCCTGGGAAGTGTTAAAAACTGTGTAGATGAGGCCCACCATGACATGGTTTAGTGGTGGACTTGGCAGTCCTGGGGTAATGGTTGTACTTGATGATCTTAAAGGTCTTTTCCAGCCTACTTGATTCTGTGGTTCCTGCCAGAGACACTGTAGGCAGCTGTGGGGCCAAAATCAGCACGCACACCCCGGACATGGCAGCGGGATGTGTGTTCCCTGGCAGATATATGTCCTTTTGGGAAAGGCCTGACACCAAACCGCACTGACCCACTGTGGCATGGGTGGCAAAACCTGGGCTTACAGGAGCGTGTGCTCAGGATGCATTCCATGAGATATTTCTGCACCTGGGTTGGGGCAACCCCGGTATCAACACAAGCTGGGAGATGAAAGCATTGAGAGTACCCCTGAGGAGAAGGACTTCAAGGTGCTGGTGGATGAGAGACTGGACGTGAGCCAGCACTGTGCACTTGCAGCCCAGAAACCAACTGTGTCCTGGGCTGCATCAAAAGGGGCGTGACCAGCAGGTCGAAGGAGGTGATCCTGCCCCTCTGCTCTGCTCTGGTGAGATGCTACCTGGATACTGCATTCAGCTCTGGAGTCCTCAGTACAGGAAAGACATGGACCTATTGGGGAGGGTCCAGAAAAGGGCCACAGAAATGATCAGAGGGCTGGAACACCTCTCTTTTGAGGAAAGGCTGTGAGAATTGAGCTTGTTCAGCATGCCAAAGAGAAGACTCTGGAGAGACCTGACTGTGGCCTTTCGGTACATAGAAGGGGCCTATAAAAAAGATGAGGACAGACTTTTTAGTGAACAGGACAAGGGGTGATGGTTTTCAACTAAAAGAGGGAAGATTCAGGCTGGACGTGTGGAAAAAATTCTTTACAACGAGCTTGGTAAAATACTGGCACAGGTTGCCCAGTGAGGTGGTAGATGCACCATTCCTGAAAACATTCAATGCCAGGCTTGATGTGGTTCTGGGCAACTTGGTCTAGTTGAGGACGTCCCTTCTCACTGCAGGGGGTTGGACTAGATGACCTCTGAAGGTCCCTTCCAGCCCAAACTATTCTACGATTCCATGTTTACTTGAGAGCCTCCCCCGCCCGAAGGACGAGCGGGACGCGCGTTTTGGAGAGCACCAAGAACACCGCCGTGCCAAGCGCGGGCTCTGTCGCGATACCCGTCCTCAAGGGCCTCGCCGGCCACACCTCCGCTCCCCCGTGCCCCGCGCCGGCCCCGCCCATCCCCCGGCCGCGACACGCGCCTGCGCAAGGCGCGAGCCCCGCTGGCGGTCAGCGGCGGCAGCAGCGAGATGGCGGCTGCGGCGGGTGGCAGCGGGCCGGGGCGGCGGTGGCTGCTGTGCCTGTGGCTGTGTGCTGCGCTGCTGCCGCGGGCGGCGAGGGCCCTGACAGAGGGGCTCTACTGCGGGCGGCGCGTCTGCTACGAGGTGCTGGGCGTCAGCCGGCAGGCCAGCAAGGCGGAGATCGCCCGCGCTTACCGGCAGCTCGCCCGCAAGTACCATCCCGACCGGTACCGCGGGGACCCGGGCAGCGGCCCTCAGGCGGCGCACGAGAAGTTCCTCCTCATCGCCACCGCCTACGAGACCCTCAAGGTGAGAGAGCGGGACCGCCGCCGCGGCCGGAGCCGCTCCGGTAAGAGCGCGGGGGACCGACGGAGGGACCCCCCGGGGGCCGTGCGGGTGGCGCGGCGGCGGGCCGGGAAGCGGGGCGGGCGGCGGGCAGGCAGGGGGCCCGGCCCCACGGCTGCCCGCGCCGCCGCTACCCTCGGCGTGCCGGCTTCGGGAGAGCAGGCGACGCCCAGGCGGATAGGAGCGGGGTCGAGCGATCGCCGCTCCGGGCCGGGTTCTTGCCTCCCGCCCGCTGGTGCTTCAGTGTCCCGTCGCTGCCCACGGGAGCTCCCGCCTTCGCGGCAGGAGGCAAAAGCAAGCAATGGCATGTTGCGAGGAGAGAAAACGTGGCCTGTAAAAGCGATGAAAGGTGCGCAATCCCTTCCAAGTTTTGCTCAGCGGCTGCGACTCATCTGCTGCATGTGTGTCTAAAGCGTACATCAGAAAAGACTCAGCTTAAACATCGGGATCCTGCCAGACCTCGGGCACTCCAGGTGTATCTCGTCCCTGGGGAGGATCAGTACCTCTCGGGTTGACATCGCGGCAGGCTCTGCAGCTTCGCTCTTGCGTTCCTTGTGTGGACTTCGCCGGCTTGCTTCTTAGCAGCACTCGGGGAGGAGGGGAAAACCAAAAAACCTTCTTCATTAGCCAGTCCTAGAGTACAGGAGGGGAGGGTACAGTTCTCTTGAAAATCCCGTTGTATTTAGAATTTGTTCTTTTGGAAATCCCTTTCTGTTTAGAATGAGCTGTCTGGGTTTTATCTTAGAGCTATACCTTTAAACAACAAAGTAACAGTAACCCGAATAGCCTATGGGATCTGTAAGGGGTGCTTATCACGCAAAATGTGTGTGGCTTGGCAAAGACATAACGTGGTATCGGAAGAAAGAAACATGCGTTTTTAAGTCTGCAAGGGAGAATAAAAGCAAGTATTTTTTAGGGTAGGAAAGGAATACACTTGAGGCTGACAAAAAATTCAGTTTCTCATCTCTTAATTACATGGGTGAAAATGAGAAAAACTCTGTGAAAACGAGAACAATGAGGTTCTGAAACAGCCTTTCATTGGACAGATTCCACAGTCTTGTAAGCTAACTCCAGAAGATTTGCAAAACAATCTCTTAATAGGTTCTTTGTCTGAAAGATCTATTCCTGAGCAATATTTAGTAACTGTTGTCAGTCTGGACTTCCCATTCTGAAATTAAGAATGCTTCCTATGAGGATTTCAGTTGCTTGTCTTTATTTCAGCATTAGATGTCTTCATGCAGTGTGTGCTTATGGATTTAAGACCACATATGTCAGATGTGTGTGGGCAGATGAATATGAGAACAAATTAATTGAGAGTATGGGAAAAGGAAGATTTTTCCTCTGTGCTTCATACTCCACTGGACTATTGCCAGTTTTGTCGTAGCATGGTCATTAGTGAGATGTAAAGCACAGCTATAACAGAGTAAGCGAAAACAGGAACATGAACCTATACACATTTTTCATCTCTTCCTGCAGGATGAAGAAACACGTAAAGATTATGACTACATGTTGGATCATCCTGAAGAGTATTACAGGCATTATTATCACTACTACAGCAGGAGATTGGCACCTAAAGTGGATGTCAGAATAGTGATTCTAGTTACAGTGTGTGCCATCTCTGTGTTTCAGGTAAAATTTCATGTTTACGTGATACTGCTCAGTGAGTTTCTGAAAGGGAAGAGAAGTATCTGCAGCTCTTGTAATATGCCAGCTATTAAACAGTGTGCCCATTTCTATCTGCTGCGGTAAACTTCTCTGTGGTGTCCTTAACAAATCTAAGTCAGATGTGCTCAGCAAATTTTTGGCTCTCCTTGGTACTTTGGACAAAGAAATTATTTTAATCTGATGATGGAATATTTCACAGAGATAAATGGAGCATTTCTGAAGAAGTTATGTAGTTCTTCATGGCAGGCTCAGAGCAGCCTGTTCCTAAGCAGCGTCAGGAATAGTGCTCCAAGTAAGTGTGTGTCAGTCTGTCAAGCTGCATATGTAATTGTTTTTTTATTTTTTTAACAGACTAATTGGAAACTGAATTCAAGACTCAATTCAGATCATAGGTCTGAGTATCAGGAGCTTAGTAATGTGTGACTCTTACAGTGCCATGTATTTTAAACACTTCTTTGGAGTCAGGAGAGAAGTGAATTCAGCTCAGCAAACTCTCCAGACTTACTTCCAGTGGCAGAGTTTCACTTCACCTCTTATTTCTTGTTTTGGCTTTAAGTGGAGGCGTTTTCCTTCAGTCCAGGTGCAGATGATTGCAAATTCAGTGTAAATGGCTGTGTAAACTGTTTTGCCTCTCTCTTGCTTTCTAGTGTTTCTTCTTGGCCCTTGTTAAGGTTGCATAATGCCTGTGTGTGTCTGCCCCTTGTCTTGGTGAATAGTGTGAAATGCTGCCCTTTTAAACAAGTTGCTTAGTAAGACATGTTCACCCCAGGCACTATATTTCTGGTTTGTTGTTTGGGTTGGTCTGGTTGGTTGATTGGTTTCCTGCATTGAAATTCAGA